AATGTAAATACTACACTATTACATTACTTTATAATTTGTTAAAAAAATCTTCATTAATCAATTTAGATTAATAAGTTAAACTTAAACCCACGAGTCCCATCAACTTCCTTAAGCCAAACTTTGGAATTTGAAAAAAAAAATAAAAAGAAAAGACCAAAATTACTAGAGCCCATAAAAACTATAGAAAAACAAAATTAAAAATGATAAGAGAAAATTACAAAATAAAAATATTATTAATTAGATGGGAATCTTTGTAGAGGTCGCTCTAATCATTCAGACCAGCTTTTGCAATTATTTATGTACAAGTTCAACTAAAGTAATGAAAAAACACTTTCAGATTAAAGTTGAAATCTTATAAGCATAGGAGAGGAGAAAGAATAGTAGTACTGTGGTAGTAATAAACAGTCTCTTTATGTGTGAGAGAGAGGGAAATCTATTCTAGTTTTCTGTGCCCACCCTTGCCTAAGATCCATGTGCCCTTGTCTATGCTTCTTTTTATTATCTTACATATTACTCCAAAGGAATCTTGCGTTTTTTTTTTTAAAAAAAAAAAAAAATTTCATATTTGATTTTCCACACCCATATGTATAATAATAATAAAAAAAAGTCATAATGAGGGTCATAATGTTGGGCACTCCTTTAATTTGAACCAAACATCCAACATTCACTTGTATACGCTTCATGCTTTGGGTATTTTATTTAGGATTTTTTTTTTTTTTTTTTGTTAGGATTTTTTTTTTTTTCTTTTTTTTGAGCTTTTGCCTAAATGGCAGCACAAAAAAGCGGATGATAATCAATACTAATCTAAATTCGTTTAAGAGTCTGCTTGAATCAAAATTAACTATTATTGTAGTTGTTAAATTGTTTTAGTAATATTTATTATTTAAGTGCTAGTAGTTACTTTAAGTAGTTTTTTTATAAACGGTTAAAGAGATAAAATTTATTGTTTTTTTTTTTTTTTTTTGAGCTTTGCTAAATGGCAGCACAAAAAAGCGTATGATATCAATACTATCTAAATTGTTAAGAGTCTGTTGAATAAAATTAACTATTATTGTAGTTGTTAATTGTTTTAGTAATATTTAATTATTTAAGTAGCTAGTAGTTATTTAAGTAGTTTTTTATAAAACGGTAAAAGATAAATTTTATGGGAGTTAACCTTTTATTAAAAATATTATATTAATATCTAAAAACTAGTTCAAATGCAATGTTAATAAACACTATAAAAAATAACAGTCAAAACGCTAAAAATTACTTGAAAAACTATCGCAACACAACCAAAAAGTCTTTCAAGAATATTACAAACGTTTCGCTCTATTTGCAATAGTTTTTTTAAATATATATTTTAAGTTTTGCTCCATCATTACCTAAAATTATTTTTTAGGTCCATTACTATTTGTACTATGGTTGTACTTAATACAAATTGTGGGGAGAAAAATATTATTTTGGGTTTTTTCAATTGCTAATTAATAATTAGTGATGTCTTATCCACTTAGGACAGCTTTATTTAATCTATTCTTTCCATAATTGTACTATGGCCATGTATTTTTGGTTTCCTTTGTCTTTATAATTATGGTTTTGAATCCATGTGTTTTCATTTAATGAAAAGCAATTTACACTTTTGTCTACCTAAAAGAGATCAACAGATTCAACAAAGAATGGGAAACCGGGAATTTTATACTTTTAAAACTGCGAACGTACCTTAAGGTTTCCAAAGGAGCGTTGCAGTCGTTTTCACTTGTAAAAAATTTTTATTTACTAATCTTAAAATTGAATTTTTATTGGAGGGAAAGTGATAAGTTTTTATGAAATTAGACTATAAAGGTGTTTAACAATTTTAATAACTTAAATATCAAATTAAATTCATAAATATCAGATTATGCAAAAATTGACTCGTAATACCACGACACACTAAAAAAAGAAATCTACTTTAAAAAATACTTAATTTCGGGTTCTTACACTACTTCATATAAATTTAAACATGGAATTTTTTCTGTTAATTGTAATTTGATGGAAAAACAAATATATATTTCTATGAACAAAAAAGATATACATATATATAGCTTGCCACCATAGTTAAGGTAACCTGACAGAATATATATTTCTGAAATAAAAGAAGTAAAATTTGTAGTTTCCTTGGGGAATTTACATGATATATTCCAACAATCAAAAACAGCATCAAACATATTTGTACTTGACTAATAAAATGCATGGACCCCTCCACTAGAGACGAAAAAAGAAACAATTCTTACAGTATCTCACATGAACGGTCTCTTTGATTTTACTGCAAAATGTGATGGACATTAGTAGTGAATCTTTATCATCTACATTCCTATATTGTGCTAAGATTTGGAAATACTTGTTGCATTATTAACCTTATAATAAAATTTGAGTTTTGACCGTTCGCCTTTATAGAAATTTACGAGGAAGTTCGAAAAAATAATCTTTAACATATAATAATAGAAACTCAAATTCAGTCTTAAAAGTATTAAGTCAATTGGGTTTAATCGGATTGATATACTTATATATTCTTTAAAGATGTGAAAATTGACAGACTTTAAGTTTAAGTTCTCTCCACCAGTAAAACTCTATTTAGCAATATTAGTTGTTGTAGTAGTTATTAGCACGTAACTATTAGTTGTTAGCAGTTAACTATTACTTTTTAGTTAATAGTTAAATGGTAAATATTATATAAAAAACTCATTCAACCTCTAAAAATTATATTACCGAACAATATAATTAATAGAAATAGAGATTTAATTTAGTAAAAATGCCAAAAATGAGTTAAAAAGGTGTTGCGGAACTTGACCTAAGTTGGTGAGTATTATTCCAAGAAGGAGGGGATTTAAGGTACACATAGTGCCAAGATTTGGCAAGCGTAGCCAGCTAAAATTGACAAATTATTGGAAAACTTAGAGGGGGTGAAAAAAGAAAGAAAGAGAGAAAGAAACAGGCTGTATCTAACTGCCATTTCTGGCAAAGGGTTGCATAGTTTACGTTGGAGGGTAGGTGCCCTAATAGACGGTTATTATCAAAGATTACACAAAGCAAAACTTTTATGGCAGTGGTCCATATTGCCTAACTATTTTGGACCGTCCAAATAAATCGAGCCCCACGTGTGATTTTACCAATGTGGTGACAAGCTATTTTTTTTTTTTTTTCTACCTGTATCGGCATATGTAAGCTACTATCCTTATTTCTTCATTAATGCCTATACTTACCTATTCGTACTACCATTATGGCTCTAAAATTAAATAACCATATGTGCAATGTCCCCTTTGCTTGCTCCTTTCGTGCATGTTTTGTATATTTTAGGAATAATTTATTTATATGGCCATCATAGCTTGAATGATAAAGTTAATTCCAACTGTCAGTTTTTTTTTTGTTAAATTATTTTATATATAGTTTGAATTAATGGAAAACTGAATTGCTAAATTGTTTTATATCATTTTTAAAAGGTTATGGTATAAAGTTTTATGCACTTTTCAAATGAAAGTAATATGGAGATTTGTCACCTCGTACACACGTACCATCAAATAATTATAACATAAAAGTAAATTTAACTACATAGAAACAGGAATAGGCTTCAAAAATTGGAGGACCAAAAATTAAAAAAAAAAAAGAAAGAAAGTTGGTAGAGGCAACAGAAAAAGATTTTTTTTTTTTTTTTGAGTATCACAATTATATTATTAAAATATTTAATTTAGAAAATATGATGTATCATAGTTTTTTCTTTAAAAGATTGATGCGATAGTAAAAAGATTTAAGAATCAACTGAGCGTTACTCAATTGTTTGAAAATAAATAACGCTCGGGCAAGACACACATTCCCCCTCCCCCTCCCTTGACATTTAATTCTCTATCCCCCTCCCTGTAATAGATAGAAATACTATTAATATTTGTACTTAACCTCCGGATAGGACACGCTACAATTTCTTGAATTCTCTCGATCTTTTATATATATTTATTTTTTATTTTTTATTTTTTTTTATTTTCAGAAAATGATGTGCGTGTGTATATATTTAAATAATACATAAAATCCATAGGCAGAAAACACAAATTTAAAAAGTTTGGGGAATAAAGGGACCTTGTTTGCTACACAAAAGATAATTTTTGTTCGTATATTAAGAATTTTCATAGGCGTTATGAAATGTCATAATTTGACATTCCAGTTTCTTGCACTATAAAACATATATTGAACTGATAGATTATTAACTCCATTGATACAAAATTATGTTAAGAAACATCATCGAAAGAAGAAAAGTAAACAACAGTACATCAAAACTTCAAATTTTCATAGCATTAATTAATGTTAAAAACAAAAGGACAAAATGGTCCGAATTGAATGCTAAATTCTTAGGCTCCATTCTTCGTCTGTATCCTCCTGCTAGTTCAGTCCTTAGCAGGCGCACATATGCCTCTTAGGTACGATGGCTGGCAGCTGCTTGACAAATTCCTCCCTCTTTCTTAAACTTAAAACTACAGTATTTAACTACCGACTAAAATATCTTTTTTGTAGAGTTTGTTTTTTCAGCTCTGAAAATTTGGCATATATCATTAAATTTTAATGAATTATTTTTACTTAAAATATGATACGAACAAGTTACTGTATGGTCTATGCATTACACAGAACAATTACGCTTGACGCCAAACGGCCATTTAAAAGGCCGTAAACACCAACCGCTCCGTTTTGTAATTTAGTGAACGGTTTCTAACTTCCACCGTACAGATTTTTAACCTTCAGATTCAATCATTACTGTCCACTGTTAAATACTTCTCCTAACGTGCGCATTCCTACGTGGCTTTCACCAATTTGCCTCGAATTCGGCGCATTCTCTCAACGGCCTTTCCGATCTGTATAACGGCGCCGTCAAATTCCCCGTTACGGCTGATTCTCCCGTCACTGTTAACGGAAATCCTGGACCACCGGTAGCATCCCCACCACGCAACCTTTAACACCAATTTAGCAATTCACTATTCCTTTTAACCTCTCCTCTCTTCTCTTCTCTTCTCCGTTAAAAAGAAAAAAGAAAAAAAGAAAACAAAAAACAAAATCCTCCCCATTAAAACTCTTTCTCTCATCATCACCATCATCATCAATAAAACGCACAAACAAGACAAAGAGAGAGAGAGAGAGAGAAAGAGAGTGTAAGAGAGAAGGTAACGAAACACTGTTGAGGAATTGCGGAGATTTCGATAATGGAAATGGCTCAGGTTGGAGTTCGTACTAGAGGTCGGACTTTAGCCTTGGCAGCCGCTGCCGCAGCTACTGGCACTGCAAGGAAGAGGAAAGTGAACAATCAAGAGTTAATGGTGTCAACATCATATATTGAACTTAGGAGTACTACTAGAAGACGCCTGGTGATTACTCCTGAGAATTCAGTTTCAGTTTCGCCGGAAGTGAATTCCGGTCATCGGACTGTTATTCGGAATAGTTGTTCCAGCCCTTGCTCGGATCACGCGTCGACTTCTTGTTGTTCGAGTAATGGATCAAGTGATCAGAGAATTAAAAATAAATTTTCAGATCTAGAGGTCACAATTCATTTCTGCCTTTATGAATTACAATTGAATTTTCGGTTTCTCCCGATTTAATTGCTTGCTTTTATATTTATTTGGTTGTTTGGATTTTGAATTTTCCTTTTTCATCTCTGCAGGCTGAAAGCGTCGAAGTAGAAACGTCAGTTTATTATAGCTGTAGAGAAAGGTTTTAACTTTTTTTTTCTTAATTCTCAGTATTTTAAAAAAAATATAGATATTCAATGTCTAATTGTTAACTCACACGTCTCTTCAATTTCGAATTCAAACTACTATCTCCGATCCATTTAATTCTTCCGTTTTAAAAAATTCTCTCTCTCATATATATATATACACACGTACCCACTGGTCTTAACTTTTCATGTTCCTTGCACGCACAGGAGAGAGACCACGCCATCGAGCCAGCTTCGACCTGAATCATCAGACGAACTGGATTCCATAGCTAGACCATCACCGGAGGCAAATACTCTCCGCAGATCAACGGCCGAGAAGATGCCAACGGAGTCTGAGCTTGACGAATTCTTCACAGAAGCCGAGAAAAGTATCCAAAAACAATTTGCAGAAAAGTAAGTAAACTAAACTCTAGAATTCCTCAAAACTCTTGCATGCACATTTTCCATCATTAGCACAAATGTTGCTGCTAGTGCGTCTGTTTGTTTACTGAGAAAGTAAAGCACGATAACCAAGAATCTAAAAATAGAATGAAATTAAAAAATTTTCTCTTTTGCTGGTCAGGTATAACTACGATATTGTCAAGGACGAGCCCTTGGAAGGACGGTACGAGTGGGTGCGATTAAAGCCATAAAGGAAAAAAAAATGGCTTCCTTCTTTGCGCTCAGTTAATCTCCGATAACTTTATCTCCACTTTAGGTACTATTGCTTCTAATTTAAATTTCTAGTTTCGTTAGGTCATTTATTTTCTCCTCCTCCTTCTCTTAAGTTGTGGTTTAATGTACAGTTCTCTTTCTATTTCTACTTCTAGTTTCTATCTTTATCATTATCAGTTATTAGAATTATTAGAAGCTGAGGCTTCTGTTTGTTCTTTTGTAAGAGTCGGTCATTTCTGCAAGTAAGATAAAATTTGCAGAAACTATTGCAAAATCCACCAGATGAAGAGCAAACAGTTGAATAACGAAAGTTAGCTTTCGATTCTTATTTTTTTGCTGTTTTATTTTATTTTTTTTTTCTTTTTCTGTCTGTTTCTCTGCCATTTTCTTCTCTTTGATGGCTGCAGCCTCTGGTACAATATCACAGTTTCCATTTTATCAGCATTAGCTTCCTCCTTTCTCTTGCGGCGAAAAAACAGGAATCTTTTTCGCTCGTCGTTTTCCTTTTGAAAACTGGATTTTTCCCTAATTTGGATTTTTTTGGATATATCTTTATTTATTAAGGAGAATGGAATTTTCGAAAAGAAAAATCGTAGGCAAAAAAATATCAGAAAGAGAGAAAGGGGTTAAGGTAGAATTCGGTGAGGTGTAGAATGGAAGAGAGGCAGGTGCACGCTCCTGGCCTTGCAACGAACGGACACGTGCTGAGAAATGAAAAGCCGATCTTATCCCATGGGAAAGTGCTTTCAAAGTTTGTTTTTAACCAATCGGAATTTCCCGTTTTCTTTTGGCGTTCCGGAAGAGTTCTGTTATGTGCGCTCTCAATTATAACCCATAAAAAGTTAATTCATTATGTTGAATTTCGAATAATAATAATATAAGAGTAAAATACACTTCATCTCTAAATTATACCATAATTACAATTTTTATAACTTATAACCTTGTTAACTTTTTTTTTTTTAAATCATTATCGGGTCTATTCATCCAAAGCTTTATCATTAGTTAAACACTCTTAAAATAAAATTTTTTTATGAAAAAATATGAAATTACAGTTGAATTAGAAGTCTTTTATAAATTAGTACATGATCTTTGTATAGTAGTATATGATACTGGCTCATTTATTGACCAACTCTTTTTTGGTGGCATATATGTAACGTTTTGAACTTTTTGATCTCAACATATTCAATGGAAATATGGTTGAAGTAAATACATATTTATCCATTCAAAAAAAATAATATATATATATATATTTGTATCGCAGATCATCTTTGCTAACAATTACTTATTAACCAAATAAGAATTTACTCCGAGACGTATATTGAAGTTTGGTCATTTTCCAATATTCTCACCAAAATGGTAATTTGATAATCCTAAATTTCAAAGTTTGATCATTTCAAAAAAGTAACTAATCAACTTCATTTTTATTTTTTGATTTTCAAATCATTCGGTGTACAGAATTTATTGATCCAACTAATCAAGATTGCATTTGAAAAAAAAAAAAAAAAAAGTTAGTCTTTAAAAAAAATTATATATCTAGGATTAAACCATGAGACATAAAGAACAAAATAAAATGACATATCTATTCACAAAAAAGAGGAGTTAATAGATCTTTTTTTTTTTTTTTTGCAATTTTTATTTTCTTGATTTTCAAAATTTTATGTCGGTGTCAGAATTTTATTGAATCCACACTAATCACAGATTGCATTTGAAAAAAAAAAAAAAAAAAGTTTTAGTTCTCTTAAAAAAAAATTATTATATCTAGGATTAACCATTGAGACACTAAAGAACAAAATACAAATGACATACTCTATTCCCACCAAAAAAGAGGAGTTAAAGATTTTTTTTTTTTTTTTTTTTTTTGCAATTTTCCTTAGCATAGAGTATAACTAATTGACTCTCTTATTTTTTGTAATTAACCTTTTACATGTAAAAAAAATATTTTAATATTAATATCTTTAAGATAAGCTATTTTTTTTTAGAGGGTTTTAACTCATTTTCAACAAATTATTTTCTTTTCCCATTTGAAGCCACATCCAATAAACTACATCCTTTTAGAGGTTTATTGGATTTTTTTTGGTTTTCATTTGTTTCGTGCTCATAATGAAATTTTTTTCTTCTCTTTAGTCTTTATATAGATTGTTTTAAACAATAAAAAATTATGGTAGTTTTTGATACTTTGAGAGATCAATGGGTTGCAGGATTTGGTGAAATTCCATAAATTATGGTAGTTTTTGATACTTTGAGAGATCAATGGGTTGCAGGATTTGGTGAAATTCCATAAATTATTAATGTAATTTGGTAAGTTCAATTTCTTTATTCATGAAATTAAAATCTCAAAATGCGGTCACTCATGGTGTATTTATACATAGAGAACTCCATTAATTAAAAAGATATGATACAAAATTTTTCATGGAAAATAAGCCGTTACAATTTCATTTTATTATTTTATATCTGAGAGATTATTTATTGTAAAAATATTGTATGTTTATTAATTGATGATTGTCTCTTTTCATTAAAAAATAAAATAGAAAATAATACACAAAATCAATTTGTAATGGGTAATGCATATTTTGGGGGATATTGTTTGTTGGCGAGAAAAGAATTTTTTTTTCATACACAAAAATAGAATACTCGATTAAGTGACCTCAGTCATTTCATTTCCATTCCTACCAATTTCATTGACAGCCAGAACAGAAATTTTATAAGCACACATTTGAGTTGCACGTACAAAGTGAAACAAATTCAGGATAAGCTGCTGGCTGTGGGCTGTGGGCTGTGGCTGTTGGTTGTGGTGGGGCGGCTGGCGTCATCTCCTCTTGGATCTGCCGCCCTCTCAACATTACACTGCTTTTTTTTTTTTTTTTAACTTTTTTTTTTTGTTGCTTTGTTGGGTCCCCTTTTTTTTTTTTTTTTAACTTTTTTTTGTTGCTTTTGTGGGTCCCGCTCTCTCTAGAATGTTGACCATTAAAGTTGCGTTTATTAATATAAAAAAATGAGAAAAAAACAACTGGGCAAAGCCCAAGTCAAGTCATGGGCCTCGTAATTTCTGCTGTAAACATGTTCTGGGCCTAGTTGACTTTTCTTTTTCTTTATCTTTTTTTTAGGCTTTTAATTGAGTTGATCACTATTTGAACAAACAAAATAAAAGGGTATTACAGAAAAATAAAGGCATTATCTAAAATTTGATTCTATTATGTAAATTCTACAAAATTGAATCCATAAATATAAAATGAGGCATAAAAACAAGAACCATCTTTCTTTATATTGACAAAACATAATTGTGCTTCTACAAGAATTAAATGTGAGAATAGCCTTAAAAGTGATTCACAAACTATGATAAGCTTTCCACACAAACCAGGAAGAAAGAAAAGATAAAACTGAATTCACACCGCAAGATCAGTGCTGGCAATTGATCTTATAGAACTGGATCTAACACCACCCTCCTTAGTGCTGCCAACTGATCTTACAGAACTGGATCTAACACCACCCTCCTTAGTGCTGCCAACTGATTTTACAGAATTGGATCTAACATCACTCTCCTTATCTGTTGAATATGCTATCAATGCCTTCACCACTTGCCGAAATCTCCTTCTGTAAGTAGGAAGCTTTGATGCACTCCTCACCATTCCTAACATCCTGTCGCCCCCATTTATCGAAAAAACATATGATGCATCGATGAGTATAAGGTCAGAATTTCTAGTATTCAGAGAACCACCAGGGAAAAGTGACAAAAACAGAAAAACAGTCTGGTCTAATTGATTAACTGTCATTTAATAGAACTGATTTACTAAAAAATTTACGCATGCTTCAGTTGTTGTGCATAAACTACAATTGTAACACTAGGATTAGTTCTGTTTTGTCTCAAGAGAAACATTTCATTACCAGTAAATAGACTAATCAAAGTGATAAATAAGTTTGTAATGAGTTTTGGCTCAGTAGTATTGCAGTCATTTTCAGGTCCTGTCAGAGCCTAATTAACTGAGAAAAATTGCAAGTGAAAATGAATTTTTGGGTTCTGGAGAAGTTTAATTACCTTCTGCTAAGGCCTTGTATTTGAGCAGCTCTGAGAGCCTCTTGAGGTATTATACTGCCATTATCCCAGGCCTCCATCCGCTGTGTATCATTTCCAAACAGAATTACTTTCTGCAAGAATCTTTCCTCCCCTTCTTCCAATTTGATGACTCTGATTTGTTCCTTTACAACAAGCAAAGGGTGAAAGAACCATTCAAACAATCTGTCATTTGGTCTGTTTAGATGAGTGACTTCAACACCATCAACCAGCAAAAAACCATGTGAAGCAGCTTTGATAGAGAAGAGAAGAGTATGCAACAGTGAATAACAAGGCAATCCAACGCCAACAATGACACCTTCATTGGCATTCTTGGCCTTCAGACAGTCATTGAGATCAGTTAATGTTATTGCACCAACATCCACCAGTTCTTTGCCTCTTATTTCACATGATCTCATGACATGTCCCCAAACCTGTTGCAATTTTGAGATACATCAACTGTCTTTTTATGCATCGAAAATGTAAATGAAACTAAATATGAATAATGATTGTATACAAAACATGCTTCTACCAGTTTTAACTTATAAGTCCACTATTATAGCTTGTCATAGTTGTCATCATCAACTGATCAAACAGACATTCTTTTTTAGATAACAATATGGCTACGTTCAACGAAAATTTTTGAGTGAGAAAAAAATTCCAAAATTCTTGGTGGAACTGTATATTAGTCTGCATCTGGATTTTAGCAGGATCAAAATAATTTTGCCAAAGGAATAGCAGGTATTCGTTACAATCTTGGAGATTTCTTTCAAACCCTATAGGTCAAGATTTTGTGTAATTCAGGACAAGTACTTCACTATATACATCATAGAGAGTATAGAACTTAGATCACTGGCATATCATATTCACCGAAAACCGGTAGCAGACAGCAAAAACAAGTTTAAATATTTTCAGGTCTGCCAAAGGTAGCGTAATAAAAAATTCCAAGTAAATACAAGGATAAATAATTTTTTGCATCTACCAGCAACTAAACCAAGTTCTAATATGCAAAAATTATCAGTTCAAGCACTAAGACGAGGATATTTCTACTTCATATTAGTCATAACACTACAAGGATACCTGAACCATTTTCACTTCTTGAATTGTCTCCCTTACAGATCTTGAAGGAGCCAAGCTTGGCATAAACATGGCAGCAGAAGCTTCTGTACCAGAGATAGAACCAAATTTTCCAAGATTTCCTCCAACAGAAAGCTCGGATGAGTTAGAAGCCTTTTTCTTTCTATAGCGGGGCCTGGCTGTGAGCAATGTGATTCTGACAGTTAAAAATCAAAAGTGCCAAAGGACAAGAGACAGCAACTATTGGTTTTAACTGTTAAGGACTGAAAATTAACACATTGAGAATAAAGAGAGAAAAGGATTACTTTGGAAGGAAAGTCCCCTCTCTAAGATACAGCCCATCATTTGTATACTCATCGAATTCTGCGACCATTGCAATCACATAAGCAACACCTTTTCGAAAAGATCTTTCCTGCATCCATAAGTATCCTGAAGGTTGAGTTCCCAAATGATATAAATGGAAATAAAATTTGTTTCGAGCTATAAATCCACCTGATAAACTATAACTGATGCATACAATCCAATGAAGATACTTGAGAATATGCTCAATAGTATGCTTCCAACAACAATAAGAGGCCAAAAAAGTATTGTCAAGCCAGCAACGGGAATGCAAGCTGTTTCGAGAAATGGTCCCTCTCGGCTAACTAGATCATGTATCAACCGAAACCAGCCCTTGAACAACATATATGGACTCTTAATTACAGCAATTGCAGTAAAAAGAGGAACATCCACAATTAGCCCCATCAATCCGGCAATGATAAATCCAGGGATATGAATCAACCTACCAACAAAATCAAAAAAGTGAATTCTCACAGTAACAAATAAAAATTTTTCTAGACCTATCTTGTACATTGGCCTAAGCTTCAAGACAGAAAATGTTAATTCTAAATAGCAAAATAATTTTTCAGGCCAATCAATATTGATCAATTTATTGTTGCAAAACAATTAAAACAGCAATAAAACACTTAAAAAATACTGCCCTTACCTAAGAGGTCTTTGCTCATTTGAAGCAGGAGAATCGCGAAGCTCCTTTAAGTAGAGCAAGTAAGAATGATAACACATATCTGCAAAATCTCTAACTACAGTACAGCTTCCTTTAATGGGTCCCAAGGTTCCATCCTAATATTCATAAATAGTAAGTTTCACCTTCACATAACCAAATAGTTGGAACTAACAACAGATGAGCTCTGGCTTAATATTACATGAATTGTAACCAGAGTTCTGACCCAAATCAGCCAAATTAACCAGAAAAAACAAATAGTGAGAATTAAACTAGACTAGAAAATTAGATAGTACGAGTAATAGAAAACTTAGAACTTACCACAAGACAGTGGTAGAATTTCTTGGATTCAGTTTCTTGTCTAAAGGCCTCAAAAGTGGAAACCCATGGAGTAAAGAAGCCATAACCCAATCCCACAAGAGCAGTCACAGCTATGCTTAAACCCAACCAAATACTAAATAGAACAGGCAAAGTAAGCAAAAGGGCAACTTTAAGTAGTGCATCAAATCTATTAGTCCTGCAAATACCAAATATTGCCATGTAAAAATCAATATTTCCAGAAAAAAAATCAAAGACCATCAACAATTTTTCGGAAAAAGAAATTTCTGAGGGAGTTATACTTACTTTACAACGGTGTAGACAGTCCAAGCAACATGTAGAGGAAACATCAATAAAATTACCCCAACATTCCCCACTATTAGTATTGAAGCAGCAATAGGACCCACTAAAAGAGCTGCAACATCCGATGGAAATCCCAAAAACCCATCATCAAAATTCACATGTACACTTGATAAAAAGTACAAAAAAAAAAATATTAAAAATTAAAAAAAAAAAAAAATAGTCAGATACAGAATACCTTTAAGACCACCGAAGAAGAAGGCAGAACAGAAGGCAATAACCACATAGATGATCCTTAAGCAACCGTGGACATTGTTTGACATGGCCATAACAGAAAACCATAGAAGAAAAAAGGAAAGAGACTTGAAAAAGATCGCACAACTACCAATCAGGTACAAACCAATAATAGATACTACAAGCAAAAAAACCAAAAAACAGAACGCACAACTTAACCACGAACACGGTATTAAAGGCTCAAGGACAGATAAGGGAAGAAGGTGACAGAAAAAAAGAACAAAAGTACAAAACCCCAAAACTGAATCAATCACCAGATGCCAGCAAAACCAAACCACCCAAAACCAGAAAGACAGGGAAAGAGAATATTTTCAGTTTTTAGCTACAGGTATGAAGCGATCAATGACGTATAGTATTGCCACCTCACATTCAATTTTTTAATCGAACGATCGGCATTTTGGGTTGTATGAGATGAACCTGGGTTGAACCACATAGTATTAGCCTTTGACTAATGAGTTTCTTTATCGCAGACGTGGGAAAGAAGCTCGGGCTATGGCCATTGGCCATGTGAACATGTGATCACTACTATTTACCAGCTCTCTGCGGTCAAATGATTAGCACATATATAAAATTTATTAAAATGGGACAATTTATAAGTCTTACGCCAAAAGAAAAAAAAGCAATATTTGTGTGTAACAGATAATACCGTTTGACCCTGAAAAATATTTTCTTTTTTCCTGAGGAAAAAAATAATCACGTTTTGGACATTTTTAATGAATAAATAAATATGTCGTTTAATGTTATGGTCTAGCGATGTAAATGACTTAAGAGTAGATTTATGAATCATTCGAATTTGATTCCAAAAATTTTTGAAAAAATTTAATTCTAATCGAGATTAAATCTATAACATTTGGATCAAAATAAATTGATTTGAATTGATTTAACTCGAATTTCAAACTGAGTGTAAATTTAAAATTTTTAAGTTCATACTTAAAGCATGGCAAGTTGTCATGCTCAACTCATTTATATTAATAAATAAACGTGAAAATGAGACTCTTCTTAATCAAATTTATTTATTATATTCATTGATTGAAACTTGAATTATTTAATTAATAGTAGAATCAAGATTTGCAATTATAAATTTTTAAAATAAGTTCATTTATCAAAATTTCCAACATATCCTACCCGACTATATGTAATATTGACTTTTTTTTATTTATTTGCTGCAACATAACAGGTAAATACACTAGATCTATGAAAAGTTGACCACCTGAAATTGACATTTTCCAAGTAAGAGCAAACCATTGAACGCACTAATGAAGGAAGCTATTATTAATTCTTTTGACAACACATGAGCATTTCCCTCATTGGACCCACTGTTACTTTTTGATTAAGATGTCAAATTATTGTAATAGTTTGGATTTTTAATTTTGATATTTTTTTGGATTTAAATCAAATTAAAATATAATATATTTATGTATTTGTAATATTATTTCAGTATTTAAGAATTATATTACTATTTAAAATTATTTTGTTGCATAATAAATAATAAAATAATTCATTTTAAATAATAAAATAACTTCTTTTAAGTTTTTAAATATCAAATTAATGTAAAAAATAATATAATTACATATCAAATTAATGTAAAAATAATCTAAAAATTGAATAAATGTTAGAGAGCTAGTACACTAGTTAACTCGCCTTGTGAGAATTAAGGTTGTATATACACGGTATCTCTTGTTATCTAAATCTAGCGTCTAAAAAGAAAAAACATATTAATTCTTATTTAAGATTTTATGCTAAATATCCGTTTAGTTCATGTAATCATAGAAATTTTATATATAAATTACAAATTCGTCTCTCATAAATAATTATATGCTATCATTAATTACTGTGTATTTCAATTGTATTTTTCGCAGAGAGTGTACTGCATGAAAATATTTAGTATATTTTTAATAATTCTTTTAATTATCTCAAAAAAATATTTTGTAATGACATTTGCTTAATAAATTTGTTACTAAAGTCAAAAAATGACTCTAATGTTTGACCCAGACAAACACCCTATATTCCGCGGCACCTTTACGCTCCACTTTATCTCAGAATTTCCTGAACTTCTGGAAGGACATAAAAGCAATTGTTCCTATTCATCAGCCGCCTGCCAATTCACCTGATCTAGTGGTGGATCCGATATTAGGTGGGCCATCTCAGTGCTCGATGAGCCGAGTAATTGACAATGGGGGTTAGATTAAATTTTATCCACAATTATTTGTAGATAAAACTTACTATAACTCCTTGTATGTGGGTCACTAAACCAATAAATAATTGACACTTAAAATTGATTGTCACAATTTGATATTAAATTTTATATTTTGAATTAAAAAAAATATTTATGATCAGAATAAAAATTAGTCAAATCCCTTAAATATGAAATTCAATCTTTGTAAATGAAAAAATCACGTTGATAGCGTTTTTCTACTGTAGACCTGGCGCAGTACAAACATAATATGGCTTGGCTAAATGAGCTAAGAACACATGTGATGTGATATAGACAAAGAATAATAATAATAATAATTGGCAAGTCCTCCAATTATTAATATGCATTCTAAAATACTTATTTATATACATAAGTAAACTCATACACCATATAAATTCATTATATCATATTGAAATTGTTGGTTTAATATTAGGTCATACACCCTTTTTTCTACTGTCCCAACCACCTCTACGGTCTCATCTCACTGCTGTTATTAACCTTTCTAGGATTAATTCCCTTTTTGTCCAAGATAGATCTATGGATTTACCATTGTTTTGTGTAAATTTGTGCATGGGGCATCCATTAGAGGAGTTCTTATTCTTATATCTTCGTATGGAGTTTCTATATCTCACTCTAAGAGGCCACGAGCGTATATACACCATGGAAGACTGGTGATTTGAAGAGTTTTCTCCTTCCTTCTTCTGTCAACAGATTGCTTAAACAATCTTTGGTTCACTGCTGGCCAACTCAAATCTGGAGTTCAATAGTTCCTTCCAATATCCAATATCTAAATCCAACAATGATGGTGGTGATAGAAAGGATGATGCCTATGGATTTTTCCTTTTATTGCTATTGATGTATGGATTTGAGATTTCATGTAATGTTTTTTTGTTGATATACAATAATAATATATATTAAAAAAAAAATAAAAAGTAATAGATTTCTAAATAAATTCTAACTAACAGATAAACTAGGATTCTATTATTATAATCCAATCATAATTATCTCTCCATCAATATAAATATTCTCAATTAATTCTATTAAGGACTAATTTTTTTACACACAATTTACTACACTTCAAATTCTGAAAGTTTAATAGTTTTCATTTGTTGATCTTGTTCTCTAACTTGATTTCATCAAGTTTATTTTACGTGCCCCTGTTTTAATTGGAATGAATCTATTATGAGTCAAAAAAAAAAATATTACGGGCCGACCCATTATCCACTCGATGAAGTTGAGTATGCAGCGGTTAGACTCCACAATTTATTTTGTATTTTTCCTAAAAACATTTATTTATATTCAGCGTTGAACTCAGAACCACTCGTACGCCAAACAAATTCTAGTAAATGATGTTTACCGGTGGATCCAATATTTGGGCCCATACGGTCCATCCTATTACTCACTTGATGAGGGGGAGTAACTAACAATAGTAGGTTAGTCTTCAAATCTTATACATGTTTATGCTATCAGCTATGCACAATAAATATTAATTTTTAATGTTTAATTTAAATTTTTATACCTCATGTTTTATTAAAATATTTTTATATAATTGATTTGTAGATTAATAATGTTAAAATTTGCAATGTTTAAATTTAATTTAACAAATAGTTAAAAATTTTGTAAACTGTAATTATGATATTAATTATTAAACCATTTTTTAAAAAATATATGAAATAATGTTATAAAATAATTTCTATAGTTGAGAAGCAAGTAATGCCATCAGTTGTAGGCAGCCTTAAGACCGAAACATTGAAATGATAAATGATCATTTCATTTAGTCCGGAAATATTTATTGTGCTAATCTTATTTTGTCAAAAGATTATTATTTTTCGATTATTATGTTTTGACATTTATGTTTTTGCATTTATTCACAAATTAACTTTCATCACTAGAAAATTAGGTTTTCATGTATATCCTTGAGTTCATAGAATAGTAGAAATCTTTTAACTTTGCATATTCTTAAAAAAGAATTAGAAGATCAACCAGGTTTCCATGTATATAATTTTACTTAATAAAAAGGTGGAAAACAATATAGGAACGGGGTACAAGTATATTTCTATCGTCACTATACTTTTTATTTTAGTTCAATTTTTATATGAAAAATTATACTCTCCCAGCACAGATGTAAGGTCGAGAAGACTTTGAAGCCATTTTCTGTTGTAACTATAATCTCCCAACAATTAACTTTGTACTGATAATTTTCACTAAGTTGATTCAATATCTAAAATAAGTATTTCTTCTCTTCTTTTATTTTTTTTTTCTCTGATTTGGAGAAATTGATTTATGGTGGGCGTCGGAGGAATTTACAGCAAGTTTTCTTTTATCTGCTATTTTTTCTACAGTTTTCAAACAGAGGAAAATTAGCTTTCTTTGTTATTTTACATGGTTATTTTCTTTTTTCCAAGAGGGATTTGTTTAATGATTCGGCAAGGAAACACAGGAAAAAAGAGAACAGAGAACGCCATTTTAGAAATGACAGTGTTTGAATGAATTGTCAACTAGACATTTGTTTATTTGATTGAGCAGCTCGTCAGCTCTGACTAGCTTTGCAGGCTGCGCTTGTTTTGAATTGCAGGATACTCTTTCTCTCGAAGTCTTGCCAAGTCAATCGCCATCCGCTATTTTGGCCTCATACCTTCATCACTCTGGATTTTTCCCCTCCTTAGATAATCATAGCTTTGAGTTCTGTTAATACACAGTTGGTTAACAAAAGTTGCTACTTATTTGCCAATCATATATGTATTGTACAATGTCAAGTATGTGAGCACCGAAACATGGCGAATCGGTGTAAAGAAACTATAAAAGGAAAGAAAAGGATGGAAGAAAAAGGAAAATTCTTCTCATTTATTTCTCTTTATTATTACACTCAATATGAGATTAATCACCTTGACCAATTAGAGAAAGAACAAAATTTATAAATACGATATTTGTCACGTTCATAATAATTTGTTACGAATTCAGTGAGACGAGTGAATTTATAATAGGTTTTCAAGTTAGCATAACCAATATAACTTTGAAGTCTAATTACGAGAGATACTTCCCTGATCTCAATAAATGTCTGTTCAATTCAACTATAATTTTCCACATTTATAGCCGATACGCACAGGGAAGGAAAGTCTTTCTACCCGTCAAAAACAAGGCAAAAGACACAAAGCGTGAGGAATGTGTCATATCACGTGAATACCACGTGCCCGTCAACTTGGAAACAAAAAGGGCAGGACAACTAAATACAAGCTAAAATGTTGGATTATTTTAACCGCTAAGTTAAACGGTACTCATTTGGTACTGTATTAGTAAACCCTGAAGGGGTCGGGTTGACAGTAGCTTTCTTTGTATTTCATTTCAGGGTTCATTTTTTACCCCTTTCGAGCTCTCAGGTTTGCCTGGAAACAAATTGGAGAGCCAAAACTATGGCAGAAATTGTCAAGAAGGAAGCGGAAGAGGGAAATTTTAACAGAACGGCACCTTATGGTGAGGAGAATGACAAATCTGTTGCAGAAGAAGACGTGACACTGGCTCAATTATCTCTCACTCCTTCTAGTCCCAGGCCTAGGCCTCTTGCCTCCTGCTCTTCGGTATATCTCTCTCTTTCTCTCTGTTTGTTTCTGTTTGGTTGCCTGGAAATGTTAGGAGAAATGAAGAAGGGAATGAGAGTTCAGATCTCGTGTTTTGTTCAGTGGAATCGAAACGCGAGGTTAATTCTGTTTCTGTAATTGCCCTATCTTCGCGTCTCGGCGGCCAAGCTTAAATGCATGAAACGCATCGTCGTTCTTCTTTTTCTGTTCCAATTTGCCTTTTGAAATCCTGATCAGGCTTAATTTTTTGGCTTCTATTCACCTTCAGGGCTTGGAGAAAACTGAAAAACGTGTTAAGGTCAAGAGAAGGTATTCAGATTCGAAAATTAAGCATGTAAGACTCGTTATTCTTTGTCTTCTTCATCTTCATACTCATGTTTGTTATTAGTTGCATCCAAGCTTATATATTACTGATTGAAAGGCGGAGCTGCAGTTTTAGAGCTTTCTGGCGTAAAAGTTGTGATTAGTGCAACGCCTGGCAAGCATTCTCGAGGTTCTTTTAGTGCTTTAGGAGATATAAAAAGTCTTTAAAACACTTCGAAGCTGAGAATGTTTATTCTTGCTGGAACTAACCGTAAGATTAGAATAATAAGTTATGGTGCATAGTGCTTGTATTAATGTTTTGTTCTAATCGATTATACTTTCTTCAAGAAGTGTTCTCTGCTTCTATTAAACTCTTCCAATCTTTGCAAATTAGTGACTGATCTTTCTTTCAATACTTCAATTCTCTTATGCTGCATAACCTGGTGGTTCATCTCTTTTCCCCCCATTCATTGCCAAATCTAACTACATTTTTTGTTGTTGTGTTGTAATGGAAGTACAAATTCAATTGTTTTGCTTCTTAAGCTGTATATTGATGTGAAGTTTAATGAATTCTTGAACAGGCAATAACAAGTCATGCAGGGAAATGCATATGGTCAGTGATGAACTGAAATGCTTTTTAATTTTATTTTATTTTTCAAATTTTAGCTGTTTGAGTTATGGAAAGTTTAACATAATGACATTCTGCCTTCTTTTTTTCCTATGAAGCTGTGGGCAAAATAAGGATGCTGTTACTAGAATGTGCACTGCTGGTGAAACAAAGTCACCTGCGATGATTCGAGCAGAGGAAGTTCAATCAAATCTAGAATCAACATTCCCTAGCTTTCTGAAATCCTTGGTTAGATCACATGTTGGCAGTTGTTTTTGGATGGTAAGCTCACTGAGTGAACCTATCGAAAGAAAAAGTGGTGCTTTATCTTTTTGATACTTGTTGTTGTTGGTTTTTTTTATTCTTGTTGTTTTCTTTTATAAATAGGGGCTTCCTGGACCATTCTGTAGAGCCCACTTACCGCGTGAGGACGCAACAATCACATTGGAAGATGAATGTGGGAAAGGATTCAGGATGAAATACATTGCATATAAGACTGGATTGAGTGCTGGTTGGAGGCAGTTTTCGGTTGCACACCAGTTGCTTGAGGGAGATGCGTTGGTCTTTCAATTAATTGAACCTTGCAAGTTTAAGGTAATAGTTTGAATAACTTTGTTGTGGTCATATTTATTGTTCTTCTAGTACTTTTGATATAATTTTGGTTTTTTATGCAAAATATGAACAGATATACGTGAGTTAGATGACTCTTACCTACATTAACATAATCAATATCAATTCTGATGGCAAGCTTGAGATGTTTAGGTGTTATGCTTGAGCTTACTAGAATCTATACTTTCATGGTAGATTAAGTTGATGGATGTTTAAAAGACATGAATAGTGTCATTTTGGTTAGTGGAATCAACTCTGAAGTTTGGAATTAATTGTATCTCATTGAAAGTCCATCTGGATCTTGAAGGAATCAGATCCGTGCAAAGGAACACTATGAATGGGAGAATTCACGGATGGCTAACACTAATTGGCTATTATTTGGCTGTAGAGTTGAATAAGGAGGTAGAGGTCAATTAAGCATATCCCCTTATAGACAGAAGTTATTAATGTTTTATGCAATTTGGAATTCTTCTATCCAGAGAACGTGCAATAGTAGGAGAAACTGGAAGCACATACAGCTAAGTTTGGTTTGATATACTCTGAACATTATAAATTTGATTTGAATTTTGAAGGAGACCAAGATTGGGGAAAGGGGGTTCATATGGTTTCAGCATTTTATGAGGTGGCTGGTTTATTTGTTGGGAGGGATCCTAGAACACATGCTACATCCTAGGTTGGAGAAAGAGGATCATGCAGTTTCCTCCATTTAATCTCTTTGGCATGCCAAAGTTGATTGGATGTAACATGCATTTTTGCTCAGTTGTCTGAGAACTGTTCTAATGGCTCATAGCTAGCTGTGTGGCTTCATATATGGTTCTACCTCTTTTCTCCTTTTACTAAGGCAGCTTATAACATACTGTTTATAGGCAAAAGCATAGAACATGTTGTTTATAGGCACATTGCTTATCAAGCTTTTTCCCTTTTCGACTTGAATGTAAAGCAGATCAATCAACTGATTTGGTTAGACATTTGCTGAATATTGTAAAGTAGATAAAGCATAATCATCTAGAAAAGAACCAGTAGCGTGGTCAAAACTTTGACACATGTGAGGATGCAAAAGGGGGACTTACATTTGACTCTAGCTAGAATCTTCAATTCCGAGCTTGATCACTTTTAATCTTTTCTTTTTCTTGGTTGCCTCAAACTGTTATTGTGGCTGTCAGGCAGCACTATGGATTAGTTGATGGTCTTTATCTCTTGGTTTTTAGCTGAGCACGGAGCAGGTTTTAAATAGCTGGAGTAGTAATTGGCTGAGGCATATGCCATTAACCTTGAACATGGAAAATAAGGAGGGATAAAAAAAAAAAAAAAAAAAGTACTCAAGCGTGCTCAAAATTCATGAATTTCTGCCACGGAGAAACCTAAACATGCTCTAGTTTAACCTTTTATAAGAAATAACCTTGTCTATGGGATTAATGGGTCTGTATTGCCAAGTAATCTTATTTCTTAAGCCCATTGAATTAGGATGATTTTATTCCCAAATGTTGCTCTAAGGAATATAAAGCTTTGAGATTTGGGCAATGTTGAGAATATGTTCTGAGATAGCCAATCTGATTTTCACAAGCCGCATGGTACTTGGCTTTACAGCTTGATTTCTTGCATAGTTCATTTGACTCTTTCCATTGTGGCAATGTCATTAATTGACTCCTAGTGATTCGAACCATTGAGTTTATCGTTTGAAGATCTGTAGATCTGTATGCTATACTTCTATGTGCTTGGTCAATGAACTATGCATACAGAAGTGGTCTTTGCTACAAGAGGTAGCATTATTTCTCATTCTTGAAATCCTAACTTCATCTCTCACATCTTCACCATTCCCATGTAGGAAAATTTTCATTTAATGATCTCCAAACCAGCATAGCTTACATGAAACAAGCATGTTTGGGATAACACTGATTTGTGGCTATTAATTATCAAGTGTAGATATCCTACTATCTTATGTCACAAATAGAAATTCCCTTAATGAAATACATATGCTAGCTTAGCACGACATACCATTATGATTATCCAGAAACCATTCCTAGCCAACCTGGGGTGAATTGTTTCTTGTTCGATATATGTTACATTAACTGCAGAGAAAATCTCACAGCAATTTGAAGAGCGAGAGAAATTGCACCGTTATTCAGACCCTACTTGTTGTGAAGCTAGAAGCATATGACCAAAATACATCCATAAGTGCCTGGATGTTCATTCAAATGACAACCTTATAACAAAGTTGAAGGAAGCCGTGAGGTTAGGCCATGAATAGAAGAATTAGTGCCATGTAACTTATGCTGTAGAATTTAAGGTATCAAAAATATTAGAAACATATTGGCTCCATTTTGAGACGACTGGGTGCTGGGTGAACTAATTTATTTTTCTGGAAGAGAATGTCATGCCCAGCATCAAGAAAGGGGTGAAAATTGATAAATTGCTCTTCTTTTACCCCTATAATTTTTAAGCCGTAAAGGCATCAAATGCTCTTTTGAAGAACATAATCTAGAAGTTTTCAAAGCATGTACTGAAGAACCCTGGCTTGTGGAAAAAGGGTGCAGGCATTTTTATGTTTTATTTGTAGTGTCTGAGCAAATGGGATAAATGTAGAAGTTCTATATGAGGAACTGGAGCTGCCAAAAAACAAAAAAGGCTGTTTAATGTGCTGAGAAAAGGATCAAACCAACTTCTGTGTATTTCTCTGAGAGGGACAGTTTACATGTTGAAGCTTGCATCATATCATCATAGGTAGGAAGCAAACTCTGATTGACACAAGTTCTGAACCTAAAAAGCATCTATGGGACATTGATGCAGTAACTAGCTTTACAAGTTGATTGAGGTGGTCGTACCGTAGAAGCCTTTGGCAAGACCAACCAATCACTCCGAGGGATCTGGATACTGGACCATTTTGTTAGAAGTAAAAAAGAATGTTTGGAGGCTTAAAATTAAAAAAAAAAAGGTCATAGTCATGTTTGCAGCATGGCCAACTTACAACATCTCCCTTCGATAACCATTCTTGCTTAATTGTATTGAAGTTAGCAAAAAATTTTCTTACTTGAATGTGGTTGATTGCGCACACCCCATATGGATTGATTCTGGCAGGGAGAATGAGGGGATTTTTTTTGTATGTGTGTGAGAGAGGGAGAGAGAGAGGTGGACTATTGGCATATTATATTTCTTTCTTTTTAAATCCTTTGTTCAAGTCCATGGTCCATGACAAATGTCTGATTATTTTTGGCAGGTTTACATAATAAGGGCAAATGATTTGACTGAAGTGGATGGTGCTCTAGGTTTACTAACTTTGGATCCTCAAATAAAACAAAAGGATGCAGGCAAGTTAATCAATGTCTTTGTTTTGCAATTTTGATATCCTGTGCATGTTTTTATTAGTGAATCCATGTTGGTTTTGGATTTCAATATGTGGAAAACAGAAACAGATGATGCAGAAATGCCCTTCATACATTGTAAAGTTTCAAAGAGGAAACGTCATAGGTCGCTTCCTTTAGCTGTTGTCCAAAAGAAACATAAGAAGTCTGGACGTTCAAGGTTGTCGGTTCCTAGGACTGGGCAAATAGCTGAGCAATCCGAAAATGACAGTGAAGAAGTTGCTTCAGAAGTTCTAGAAGGTTTCAAATTATCCTTGCCTGCCATTCAATTTGACGATGTCAAAAGCTTTGAGAATTTCAACATTGTGGTTGATGGGTTAGTTCTAGATTCTGAGTTGTCAGAGGACATTCGAAGGAAGTACTACAAGCTCTGCTGCAGTCAGAATGCCTTCCTTCATGCGAATCTTATCAAGGGCATTAATTTTAAGTTAATTGCAGGAATCATTTCTGAAACTGTCAACATTTCTGATGCCATTAGAGCTTGCAACCTTACTACGTCACATGATGAATTTGATACGTGGGACAAGACTCTGAAAGCCTCGGAGCATTTTGGCATGAGTGTTGGATTTTTACTAGCCAAGCTGAGGCGACTTGTATGCCTCGCCTTCGATTCAGAAGGTGCCACAAAAACTAGGAGGTACTTGGAAGCTAAAACTGAAAAAGTGCATACAGAAGATGAGATAAGAAATCTTGAAGCAAGACTTGTGGAATTGAAAGCAGCGTATGAAAAGTGTGGCGCTGATATTGAGAGTCTGAAGTCAAAAGCTGAAAGCTATGAGGTCAAGTTCCAGGAAGAGGTTCATGCTCCATGGTGATGTACCTTTTATGGTGTACGGTTAATGTATTTTCTGTATTTGGTATGGCTTGTTCTTTAAATTCATAGACAAGGCGGCAAATTGGGATTTGTATGCATGAATGGCATGATTGCTTGATGATACACTACACTGTTGTAACATTCTGTGAGGATTTAGGACTTATTATATAGACAATGCTATGACATTCTTGGATATTTTACTTATTGGAGACTTTTAGAGCTTTGGGAGGATATCGTTTGCTCTCTCTTTTTTCTCTATCCCATGCACGGATATATCTTGTCACGAGGAACTATTGATCCCTGGAATATCACTCTCATCTGTCTGAATGACCTTTTACTAGACAGAGTATGTACAAGTTTTGCCCCAGCATTGCAAGAAGGGCTCATGCATTGGGCACTGCAACCTTGGGCCTATGGCCTTTGACGATCCAGGTCCAGCAAGTTGGAAAAGATGGCAAGGCAAGGAATAAATTGGTAGCCTTATTTTCTACTTTAACTGTCCAAGTTGGCTTGAGCTGGTTTACAGATGACTGAATTTTATCAAGCAGTCTATGTTACATTTACATTAACTTTAATGAAGATTAGTATTGGTTTCAATTTTCATCCACGTTGAAAAGGCAGCTTAACTTTGTTATTGCATTATCGGTTTCAATTTTCAATAGGCATGGCCTAAGCATGGACAACAAATGTCTGTTTGGTGTACCAAGTAGGCAAGTACCAGCACGGGGGAATCCAACTTCACCTACAATAGCTATTATTACAAGGTATGTTTGAATATAAAACTCCTCAACTTAAGAATTCTTTAAATTCTTGGATTGAAACCTTCACTTTGTCTAGTGCTCATTTTTCTTAAATTGCAATCTTTTTTTCTTTTATTTTTCTATATATTTTTTCTAAAGGGAGAGGGGGATATGGGTAATTGGGTATAGAGGTTTGAACTGGTTTTCTAGCTAATTTTTGCGTTTTGAACTTTTTTTTTTTCGTTTTTGCATGGCTCCAGTGTACAAATTATCTTATCTTTCGCGATGGTCTGAAAAGTTGCAGGACCTAAAATCTGGTCAGCCTGCAAAAAGTACTAGTCAAATGAGAACTCAAGAGTCTGAATCCCTTATACAAACTTCTCAACCTAAGAATTCTTTAAACTCTTTTTACATTTCCCTCCAGAAAATTAAACCATGGACATCGGTTGGCAGATTCTTAGCCTTCTCCCATAGCTATAAAATTTATTACTGAACTCAACTATTGAGCATAAGATACTAAACTTATAGGCCATGTTCACTACATTTTTTTTTTGCCATTCATCACTATATACAATGATTATCTATATTATTGGCAGCAGTTACAATAGTTTTTAAAGCCGATAAGCTGGGGCAGTATAATCTATTATAAAGCTCGTTAAAAGCATCACAGCCCGCTGGGGGAAGAATATCCAAAGGGGAAGAATACAAATTTAAATTAGATGCTTACATAGTTAGGTATCGAACCAGGGCATCACCCCTTATCATTAGGGTAGGGGATTATTTGCAGGCCATGTTCACTACATACTGAAATGAGGAATGGAATCCTAATTCCTGGTTTCATCATTCATTAGCATAAATAGGGAAATAGGATTTAGAAGGTAGGAATAGACAAGGAATAAGCCTTCTTTTCTTTTCTTTTTTTGAAAAAAAAAAAAAAAAAAAAAATATGCCCTTGTGTTTTTCTCAAAATATCAAATATGCCTTTCTCAATTTTTTTTTTTTTTTTTTTCTGGAGGGCAGTATAATCCTATTTATTAACAAGCCTCCGTTTTTAACAAAAGCCATCACAGCCGCTGGGGAAAACGAAATCATCTCCCAAAGGGAAGAATACACATTTTACAATTCATGATGCTTACATAGTTACAAGGTAATCGAACCAGGGCACTCACCCCTTACTCATTCAGGGTAGGGGATCTATTTGCAGGCCCATGCTTTCACTTAACATACGTGAAATGAGGGAATGGAATCCTAACTTCCCTTGGTTTCCATCATTCATTAGCCCATCGAAACTAGGGGACAAATTAGGAAATTTTAGACGCAAGCCGTAGGAATATACGACAAGGAATAAAGCCCTTCTTTCTTCCTTTCTTTTTTGAGAAAAAAAAAAAAAAAAACAAACACAACATCATCTTTAGCCCTTTGTGTTTTTCTCAAAATTATCAAATATGCCTGTTACTCAACTTTTTTTTTTTTTTTTTTTTGTATCGCATTCCCCAAATCCATTCTTTTTCATTTCATTTTCTTTCTCAAAAACCACCACCACTCAGCTTGCTTATTTATCTATCCGTGTATGCGACAATGCTAAGTCAACACTATTTCAATATTACGGATTAAGCTGGTTTAAGCTGCAATTGAGGAAACATTACTATGTTGAAAATTATCTTGATTAAGCAGATCATTCGAAAACTTATTTTTAAAACAGTGAAAGTTTACATATTAACAACTTAATCAATTACTCTCCTTCCGAAAAAAAACAAACAAAAACAAAAAACAAAAATCCACTTTTTTTGCAAAAAAAAAAAAAAAAAAAAAAAAATCCACTTTTTTTGTAAAAAAATATATAGCATCTAAAATATTGTCTTTCCAAAATAGTATTTTCAACTTTAATGCCATGCAGACTATTTTGCGGACAGATTGTGTTCGTGAATAGTAGCTTGTCATCCACATAATTACTGAATGACTTGTTTGTTTATGAACAGCTTATTTGCTTATAAATTAACCGTCATCATCCTCTTACATAGCTAATTCGTTATTAATAGATGCATGAAATGATTATAATAGACAACTGTATATTTTGTCTTCGCTAGTGCTGTCATTTGCATGCCGAAATAACAAGAAACAAAAGGCCAAAAAAAAAAAAAAAAAAAAAAAAAAAAAAAAAAAGAAACGACAGAACCAATTAATAGTCACGTTCATCAGCTTTCTACTGCATAAAAAGACTACTGCTGAGAGGGGGGAAAAATGACCAAACAAGACATTTTCAAAACGATTAATGAATCATGTGCGCACTCTGCTTTTACATAAAAAAAGCTGATACCTTATATTCAACTTTGCAACCAAGATATCCTCCAATTTCTCTCTCGGTTGCTACACCTCAATTTACGATCTCTATGTTTTCTCGCATAGGAAAGTTACATTACGACTAGTTTTCTAATTAAAATCAAATCACATCTCATAGATTGACATCCAATTCTATTGCAATGGCTAATTTATTTAAAAAAAATTTAGACAAAAAATTTGATTCTTTAAAAAAAAAAAAAAAAAAAAAAAAAAGAAAAAAGAAAAGACAGAACCAATAATAGTCACTTCATAGTTTCTACTGATAAAAGATACTGTGGAGGGGGGAAAAATGACAAAAGAATAAAACGATAATAATCATGTGGCTCTCTTTTTACATAAAAAGCTGATACTATATAATTTGCAACCAAGAATCTTCAATTTCTTTGGTGCTACATCAATTTAGATCTCTATGTTCTTCGATAGAAAGTTACATTAACTAGTTTTCTATTAAAATAATACATCTCATAGATTGACATCCATTTATTGAATGGTAATTTATTTAAAAAAAAATAGAAAAAATTGATTTTTAACAAATTACCCTTTCCTTCCTCACTCTAATACAAGTTCTCAATCATGCTGGTCTCGTACCAATTTGTTCTCAGTTTATGATAATAGATTGTATGTTATTGTTTTGCCCGTCCATTTTGTATGGGCTTTCTTCTGTGATTGCACATGAACTGTAAACAAAAAATGTGGGAGGGAAATATTATACTACTCGACATACAGTGATATGAAATGTGTACAGAAAAAAACAAATAAAAATCCCTTTGTAGAATTTGGGAACTCGTTCTTGTAGTGATGAGATATATATCATAGAAGATCTCTCTTTCCATTTTTTTCTCTCTCATTTTATAAGAAGTGTAGAATCTCTTTCAACTTATTGAAAGGCCAAAAGGAATATTTTACGTCTCCCAAAATATATATGACGATATGAACTTAGATCCAAGTCAAAGATAAATCCACTACATGAACAGATCCCTCTCTCTCTCTCTCTCTCTTTTCTTTTTCTTTCTCTTTAGAAATAAAGAAAGGAAAATAATGAACTTAAAGAAACAGGTCTATCAATCAGTTCTCAACAAGATAGAATAAGTTCTTCAACTGCAAACATTTTGTACAAGAAAAATAAACAGCTAAAACACCAACTACTTCTGGGAGATCCAAAGGAATAATAAAGACGTTAGAACTCCAAAAACAGAAGAGGAAAAAAAGGTTAAAAAAGTTTGAAAACTAACTAACACAAATTAAGAGATCTAAATTTTATCCAAATCTCTGCTAAAAATAGAAGAAAATACCATCCACCTTTTTCCTCTTCTAAAAAAAAATTTGCTTCATTCTCTCTTAACTAATAGTCGTTACTGAATTCCAATCTCCACATCTCTGTGACTTGACCCTGCTTCACTTAAAAGCTCCTGCAACAGAAGACAGAAATCCAAATCAGACTAACTCAAAAACTAAGGTAACTAATCAAACTAACTCAAAAACTAAGGTAATTAAGTAAACTCTTTCTTATTTAGCAGCGGGAAGGTGCCTGGCAGGGGATGCAAAAAAATAAAAGCAAAGAAGAAGAACAAAAAGGTTAATAGTTTAATTCATTGTATTCTTTTTTTTCTAACCTGTGAACTCTTGCCAACATGCACTTCCTCATGAACATATCGATGCCTTCCACTTTCACCGATTCTCTCCACAGAACCATCATTCTTATCAAGTTTCTTAGACCCAATGTGGCTTCTTTTAAGACCCAAAAGGCCTTTCCACCTTGTCGAACCCTTAGGTGGCCTAAGTGAAACTTCATGACCTTCATAACCATTATCATCATCATCAACAAGAAGCTCATCTCTTATAGTCCTTTGCATTTGGTGATTGTTGTTGTTGCCATTATCTTTAAATGGCAAAAGCCTCCCTTTGAAAAAAAGCTCATCAGCACTCATCATAGAGTAGTTAGTGACTGAGAATTCGAAGTCGGTAGACACTGGGGCATCTGATCCTGCTGAGCTCCTGATCTCTTGCTTAATAATTTGTTGAGAATCAACAAAATCATTAGAGAAAGAGATTCTAGGGCTCATTGGGGGGCAATAGCCTTTGTGTTGATCAGAGTTGTACATGTCTAAGCATGCCATGAGATTTCAAAACAACATGGAAAAAGAAAAATGAGAATCAAAGAACAGGAGAGAAAACCCAAATAAATTTTGTAAGGGACCCTCTTGCACTGTTTCAACCCACCAAGTGGTGTTTGTATTTATATCTAATAAGGGGAAGTGAAGAAAGCTAGCTAGTAGTCCCTCTTTTGAATTGAATTCATGCATTGCATGTCCATGATGTGATATATGTTTTTTGTCATGACATGTAAATTGTTAGTCAATGATGCCCCTTTTGAAGTCACAGTCTTTTATAAGTAGATATATTTACAGTTTTCCTTGGAAGTATGGGTGAACTTACCAAGAAACTCTCTTTTGCTTCCATCTTCTATTGAAAAAAAACAAGAAAATCCAGTGAATAAAATAGTATAACACTCTTATTAGGAGCCAATCCTCTTGTGTGCATAGATTAAATATATTATATATTACCCATTAAAAAAAATTATAAATAGTGCTTGGAACTAGGAGTTACTTCCACGAAGGTTCTTGGAATTAATGTTTCAGATCCTTAATGCATGTTTAATAAAATACTTTCAAATTTTATCCATTCTAGTCAAGTATAATGAACCTTTAGAAGATCCTCGAGCATAAGATGACAAACTAACGGCTACAAATTATACTTTTTACCAACTGGAAAATTATAATACAATTAATTCTAGAAAAATCTCAAATTTCTTGCATTGCAATGTCTTTTTTATATTGAAGCCAGTTACACGAAAGGAATAAGTTTTTTCATTAATCAATTTATTCCGTTTAGTGGAACTTGAAATTTTATATTGTTGGATTGTTTACTTGGAGATTATAATTAATTTCACCTTAAGTAGGCAGTCAAATTGATGTAGTTGGAGTAAGAGCTAAGGGGTGAAGAAGATGAACAGAGTTCCCATAGCAGGCATAGAAAGCAACAGGAGTTGTATCAAAGAGATGGGTGATTGGGCTTTTACAGAGGTAAATGCTTTTGCTACTTTCAGCTAAGATTTATTATTTTAACCCTAGGGGGCCAAGAAGAGAAGGGAAGAGTAGAGTGAGACTGGCAGAGTCCAGAAGGGTTGGGGTGGCATGCACTGGCTAATTTGACCAACCTTTGACTTGTAAGTAAATAACCAGTGAATGAGCTGGCGATACCGACCCATCAATGGGACCACGTGATCTGATCAGCCCTTAACACACATACATTTGTAAACTGTACAGTGAACCATGTCTTCCATTCACGGTCACATAATAAAAGTAAATTACCCTTTCAAAATCTTAAATCGTTTATAAAAAAGCATATGCATTATATAAATATAATTAGCACGTCTTTATAAAATTGATAGTATAATTAATTTTACGAAGAGACACATTCGGATTTTAATTATCAAATTTTATTAGTGTTATTTAATTTTGTTAAGAGAGGAAAATTTGTAGAGTTTGAGTAAGGAAGTCCACTGTGTCATGTATGTGTGGGGCATTTAAAGGAAGTGGCAATTATGAGGCATTTATGTCTTCTTCCAACTAGTGGGTTACTGGAAGAGAGATCACGTGGGCACGTGAAGAAGAGCTCTTCTTACCTTCCTGAGGCAGCAGAAAGGTCTTGTTTCTGTTGCAAAGTAAAAACAATTCTAATCATACATCTGTGAAAAAGAAAAGTTCCATTGGAGTTCTTTTACTAGGTAAAGCTGAAACGGGTTATGGAATTATTTGCAATTTTTCATTTTCTGCCTTTTTTACTTTTTTTCATTCCCATCAAAAAATCTCTCTCAAAGACTTCTATAAATCTATCACCCTCAATCCACAATTCTATCAAGTCCTCAAATTGATTGCATTTTATATCTTTTTTTCACTAAATTTAGGTATTCTTTTTTTTTTTTTTTGTGTGTGTTCATCAACAAAGAATTAAGGAAAAAGAAAATTATCAAAACATTAAACACCAAATTTGAGAATACAACAGTAAAACCTAAACAATTTACCAATAATCCAAGATTTCAAAGAATTTAGGTATTCTTTCACGTCTCAGATTCAAAGAATATATATATATTTCAATAGTGTTATGTATACAGACACTATAAATGCACTTTAAAAAGTAATTTGTGGTTTTATTTGATTTTTTTTTTTTTTTTGAAAGTTGAGAGAAAAGCTCACCATTTTTGGAGTTATATACATACAAAGATCGTTGAAGATTCCTACTAGCTGTATGTTGAGGCTGCCAAAAATGTCCTTGTCACTATGTACACCCCTTTCTGTTGCAACTTCTTCATTGTGAAAATAATGGGCCTTACTCTTCCAGCAGCAAATGCAAAACTCTGCAAGATTGAACACACAGTCAATATTGTCTTTACATCGGTACGATCTTTTTCTTACTATTTATTTATTTTTTAGAAAAAGGCAAATTATATAATTTAAATATGTATATTTTTAACATATGGAACAATTTATATTTACTTATAATTAAGACATAAAATTTACTTTGAACATAAATTTTAAGAACCTCTTATCAATAGCTTTAACATCGTACTTGTATTAATAAAAAATATTTTTTAATAAGTCATAATATAATGTTTAATGATAGAGATATTAAGTATCTAATTAAATAAAAATAATGAGTTGGCATGCGGAGTCTTGAATCAAGAAACGCAGTCTTGTGTTAGATTTGATGTCTTGTCCTAATTTTAGACTCTTAATATGGGATCTAAAGAAATTAACATTTGTAGTTGGGATTTGTGATTGGCATATGGAGACAGAAATAAAAGATTTTTTTTTTTATTTTTATTTTGTGGTACTATGGGTAACATGAGAGGAGAAGAATAAAAGAAGAGTTAGCTCTTCAAAATTTGACTTGTACCTAAAGCAAGGATATGGCTGTCACTCACATGATAAGATATATGGCAGCCAAATGGGGTTAATGACACGTGGTGAATTCCCACAAACCAATATGGCTGGGAATTAGGACCAGTCAAAAAAGCCCTATTGAATTTGAATCAATGAAACAAAACAAACTCTTTCACAGATTCACATGTCCATCAAATAAGAAATTCCTTGCACGGTTGGAGTCAGGGAAAGCATGCATTGGGAATTCACTGCTCTACTATTCAACTTTGCTAAACAGTGGATGTTTTGCGCATTTTAGAGAAGATATTATAGTGTATTAAAGTAGTACTTCTAAACTAAAGGGTGGCTATTTCTATCTCTTTAAAGGGTTGTTTCTAGTAATTTAATTTAAAGCATTGAGCTTTTCCTGAAAAAAAAAAAAAAAAATTCTTATATTTAACATCCAATTTTCTTTTACCTGTAAAACATCTAACATCAGTAACATGGTGAAACGAACTTGGGCCTAAACATTTCTTCAGAAAAAGAAAGCGCTTGGGCCTAAATAAGAGATCCAAAACGAGGTTCAATCTGCTGGACCTGGATTTGAGCCGATCGAGGGCTTTTTTTTTTTTTTTTTTTTTTTTGCCGTTTGAAATTTTCCCACAAACCAATTATGGACTGCGCGAATTAGGACCAGTCAAAAAAATGCCCTATTTGGGAATTTGGCACATCAAATGAAACAACACACTACCAAACTCTCTTCTACACAACGATCTGCACATGTCCCATCAAACTTAAGGAAATTTTTTTTTTCCCTTGCAAAGGTTCGGAGTCAGGACAAGCACTGCACTTGGGGAATTCACTCGCCCTCTACTACTTCCAACTCTTGAGCTCACAACAGTGGATGTTTTCAGCGCATTTTAGAGACAGATAAATTTATAGTGTATCCTTAACAGTCGAGTACTTTCTCAAACACTACAAGGGTGGCGCATATCTCTCTATCTCTCTTACCAACGGGTCGTTTCTAGTAATTTAACTTTTAAACAGCATTCGCAGCTCTTTCCGAAAAAAAAAAAAAAAAAACCCTTCTTATATTTAACCATCCCAATTTTCTTTCTAACCTGCTAACAACAATCTAACATCAGTAACATGGTTGCATTGAACACCGACTTGCGGCCTAACACACATTCTTCAGAAAAGCGAAAGCCGCTTGGCCCTAAATACAGCAAAGATCCCCACAAACGAGGTTCAACTCTGCTGGACCCTGGCAATCTTGAGCCCGATCGAGGGCTATTTTTTTTTTTTTTCTTTTTTTTCACATTTATCAAGAGGATCAGTAGATGATCTGACTTCTCGCCTAATTGAAAATTCCTACTCGTTCAACAACGAACTCTGAATTCTGGTTCTCTCAATTCTTCATATTGCTTCATAGGAACAAAATGAAAAATATCAACCTCACCATAATTCTTGGCCTTCACAACTAACTTATGTTAGTCATTAAAATAGATTCGCGTGCATTCACTTTTATAATAAATGGGAATGTATCAACAAAGATAAATAACTATTTTAAAATCCTATATTTATCCAACAATTTTTTTTTTTTTTTTTTTTTTTTCAATTTATCAAGAGGATCAGTAGATGATGACTCTGTCCTAATGAAAATTCCTATCGTTCAAAAGAACTTGAATTTAGGTTCTCTCAATTCTCATATTCTTATAGAAAAATGAAAATATCAACCTCACCATATTTGGTTACACTAATTATGTTAGTCATTAAATAGATTCGCGTGATTACTTTTTATAATAATGGATTATACAAAGATAAATAACTATTTAATCTATAATTTTATCACAATTATAATTTTAGTTCCTACGATTTGTTCACATTATATTCATAAAGTATCATTTTGTAAATACTTTATAATATTTAACTAGTTGGTTATTTACATTAAATATAAAGTTCACTGTCTAATTTTCCATCTAAAGCAATATAATTAGAGAAAATTTTACAGCAAAAATAAGGATTTAAAAATGATGAACACTTGATTATAAAATCCAAGACATAATATCAAGAAAATAAATTAAGGAAAAAAATACAAAATAATTATTTAGAACTTGGACATCCAAAAACACAGAAAGAGGATAACAACGATTAATTACCAATCACTTCGCTGAATTTTCATGTGCAAACGTTTTTGGGCATAATTGATAAGTTTTTCAATTTCTTTAGGATTGTCTATGTGACCGTTGCTATTAGTATCAGCTTCCTTCATTGCTTGTCTAGCCTTCCACCAAGCAAACCAAAATTTCATACTGTGAAGTGCCTCTTTTAGATCTTCACGGCTCAGACGACCGTCTTCGTCTATGTCAAACTCGCGAAGCCAAGCTTTGAATTCCTCCACCGTCATTTCACGGCTGGGCTGAGTTTGAACGCAACATATAATCGCCATATCTAGAATTGCAAGATTGATAGAGCTAAGCTTAATATTCTCTTGTGAGAGTATGAACTTGGTCTTATTGAAGGGTCATGGATATTATCAAGTGGGTTTTTAGTGGAGAATGGAATCTTAATTTTGGCATGGTTACATTGTTTTTTTTTTCCTTTTTTGATCGGCAAATGGCATCTTTTTAGTCATTTCATTTTAAGCTACCTTTTCTTTTCTTTCCTTTTTTGCAACTTTATTCTTAAAATTACAGAATTAAGGAATTGCAACTTTAGCCACGTTGAACGTTTGGAAATGTGACAGTAAGAATATCATGGCCCAACGTATATAAGCATGTGGATAGGGTTGTAAATTAGCCAAGCCAAACTTTTGTAAGCTTGAGCTCGGCTCATTTAAAAATATTCAAGCTCAAATTCAATAAATTAAATTAAAAGTTGAGGACAAAATAATATTTATTTTATGCGTTCAGACAAAAAGAAAAAAAAGCTAGATGTTGGCATGGGATCCCATGACACTAAGTCTTTCATTAATTAAGTTAATCATCCAAGAAATTAAATAATGCACAACTAAGAATTAGTTATATATACTCTTTAAAAAAATAATAAAAAATGTAATCTTCTTCTTCGAAATCTCGTCAAGCACATCTGCATTTGTGTTGGTTTCATGAAATCTCGTCACGTTCAATGTTCACGAATCGACTTCACGTGGGCAATGTCGGGTTTCTCTAAGTTATCCCTTTAATTTTTCTTAATTTATTATTTTCTTAATTAATAAGAAATCCGTTTTCGCAGAATGGATTATTAATGTTAGAAAAGTTCTATTTTCAGCCAGCTCATAATCAAATACTATAAACTTTTTATTTATACTTACGATTTTTATTCATTGACAAATTGTTGACTATAACATTGTATGCTATATAATGATAGAGGTAATAACTTTTTAAATTTTCCAATACTCAAAAAAATTTTTTTTTTTTAATTTTCGTATCTTTATAATAAAGTAATAAAAGGAAAAATAAATCCATTGTGATTTGGTATTTGATTATTAAAATTTTTAATTATTATATATTCATAGGTGATTAAACCGGTGAAAGTAAAATATATTTTTAGTACAATATGGTCAAAATTTTGAATTCCAGAACTTGACTGATACAAGCCTAAGCTCGCTTAAATTATCTTTTAAAACTGCAATAAGGTTTCTCGTAAATGGTACTAATAGTTACCTTTCGCATAATTCAAGCAAACCTTACAACTGAGAGAACAAAGCAAATATGCATCCTTCATATCAAGAAAATACAAAATATCCGACGCAAGGCTATGCAATGAACACCAACACCATCCATCCTCCATTTATCTCCTCCGCTAATGCCGCCGCAACACGGTGGTCCACCGGCCTTTGCCACTGTTGCGATGACCCTGCAAACTGCCTTGTTTCTTGCTTATGTCCATGTGTTACCTTTGGACAGATTGCTGAGATTGTCAATAAGGGTTCAATACGTAAGCTTTTACATGTTATGGCATTTTGAAGTGAAATTTCTCTCGCTTTATATATATATATGTATATATATGGTCCAGTTAAAAGGGTTCAACGTACCCGTGTCGCGACCATGGGTTGAACTTATTTTTTTTGTGTGTGTTGTTGTGCAGCTTGTGCAGCGAGTGGTGCAGTATATGGTATCCTACTGGGATTTACAGGATTAGCATGCCTGTACTCGTGCTTCTTTAGGTCAAGATTAAGAGGACAATATGACCTGGAGGAGGCACCATGTGTGGATTGCTTGGTTCACTTCTTTTGCGAGCCTTGTGCGCTTTGCCAGGAATACAGAGAGCTTAAGAATCGTGGTTTTGATATGGGTATAGGTAAGTAATTACTTATTGCTCTTCTTTGCATTACACTATATATAGACATCAATTAAGTTTTAGAAGTATCGTGTCAAAGATAAAAAGTGAAAAAAATGGAAACTTTTGATTTAGTCCTTTTCAAAAATTCTGTTCATTGTATAAACGCTATTTCTTTTTCCACTTCGGCAATGAAAGTATTTTTTTTTCTTTATTTTTAATTTTTTAAACAACAGTATGTCATTAAGATGACTCATATTCCATAAATGCCATCTAATCAGTCCTTTTGAACTGTGTGAAGGTTGGCAAGCAAACATGGATAGACAAAGCAGAGGCATCACAGTGGCTCCCATTGTAGGTGGTGGCATGAGTCGATAACATTATAAAGTAATAATAATATAATATGGGGAGAACACAAATTAAGCATTTTTAGTTTTTCTCTATTTCTTGTAGTTGTATCTAAGAATTTTCTGTTCTGGTCATTTTGAATTTAGTTGTTGCTTATGGTTTCTAAACTAATTTCTAGTTTCCTCTGCATGTATAAAACTTTCCCCTTTTGCAATTAATTTTTCATATATGAACATGCTAATTATATATGTTATGGTGCTCTCCTTGATTATCAGTAATTAATTATCTGAAGTATGGTTTATGTTTACAAGATAACACAAGAAATTAAAGAAAATGCTAATTCACTTTTAAGCTTAGGTTCCTGAATATGTTTGGGAAGCTTCATTACAAATCAAACCTAGAGGGAAAGGAAAAACAAGAGAGATGATTTAATTCTTATAATTATTGTAAAAGAAAACAACATTCTATTCGACTTTTTCTTTTGAGCTCCTGCTCCCCTTCTATACCGAAAAAAAAAAAAGAAAAGAGAAAAGAGAAAAGAAAAGAAAAGAAAATAACATTTGTTCTTCAGTAGTGCTTCTGAATCAACACTCAACAAATTTCTAAAAATTAGGAAGATCTCATAGTACGAGTCATCATATTCATAAATTCATTGATATCTATCAATCCATCACCATCCCTATCAACGCCTTGAATCATTTTTCGACATGCATCCAAACTAGACCTCTCTCCCATTCTCTTCAAAACCTCCCTTAATTCTTCTGCACTTATTTTTCCATTACCATCTAAATCAAAAGCTTGAAAAGCACTTTTAATATCATTACTCTTAACTCCATCTCCTACATTATTCATCATCTCCATAAATTCTTTAAAATCTATAAACCCATCTCCATCGATATCAGTAGCTTCAAATGCCTTAGCCATTTCTGCTTCATTCATTCCAACTTTGCCCATGGCTCTCATGGCAGACTTATATTCTTGGCGCGAAATCTTGCCATCTTTGTTTGTATCAAATTTGGCGAAAACCCATTTCATTTCATCTTCATTTGGTTCGAAAGATTTTGGTTCTGGCGGTGGCGATGAAACACTAGAACTTTGTTTGTAGATTCTTGAATAGGCTGGTTTTAGTGATGGTTTTCTTGAAAGACCATGAAAGCTAAGAAAACTCATATTTTTTGAAGACATTTGAATTTTTCTTGGATGATATGGCTAAAAATTGCAAGTAGATGGAAATAATATTTGTAATAACTTGCTATGGATTCAAGAAATCATAACTGACTTATATATACACACACACATTTACAAGCTACAGGGTTGTGGTTTATCACGAACCATGAACATCTTCTTTTAATTAGCTTTATATCTTTTAACGCGGAAGAATATTTATTATATACTGTATAATATAAAAGAAGTGGTTGTGATTTTGGGATCTAAAAATTTGTCCATTATGTCATTTTTATGCTGTGCCCACTTCCACACAAGTTGAGTAAAATTCTATGCTACATTCATGAATTAATAGAGGAAAAGCATTTGCAAACTAAAGATACTTTTTTTATCTAGATTTTTGTTGTACTCTCATTCTAAAAATAATTTTCGTGCCTCAAATTATATAATATTATTTAGAATTAATTTAAATATTAATCTAATTAATAGGTCAATTTATTTTTTTAATTTAATTGATTTTTTTATTCATTAGAATATCCACGGACCATATGCATTGAACCTAAAATCTCTTACTCTTTACGTAAATAAAAAAATTGATTTTGATTTTATATATCATTAAATTATTGAAATAAATTTAATACAGTTTACAAAACTAAATTGATAATCTAATTATTCTTTGTTAGGTATTAGTTGGAGAATTGAATTATTGGATTAACTTTTAGAAGTAGTGAAAGATTTGAAAACCTCATCCTTAAACGCGCTTATTGCCATTTTCTATTAATTATTATTATTTTTTCTATATATTATACGTGTCCAGCATTTGGTTGCTCCACTTCTTCTCATTTGTAGCCTCATGTCTAAAGTAATAGACCGAAGATTATTTTTGAACCTCAAAAATTTTGTTCTAGAAAGAAAGTGTTCTCTTGTGGGCATCCAAAATTAATGTAATTGCACATGTATTGCTGAGAGGAGTTATTGGGGCTCTGCAGTGGGTTGGTTCTGAAATTTAATCAAATTGATTCAGTTTTAATCGATTTTTTTTAATAAATTTAACATTTTTATAATTGATACAATAATCAAAATTACTTAAAATTATAAATTTAACTGAATCTAATAATTAAATTTTAAAATTAAATTAATTTGATTCAACTTTCAATTTTAATTATATTATATGATCATCCTTAGCAATTATTGATATTTATAAGGTGAGCAGTATGATAATTAAATAAAATGATTTAATACAAGAATATATGTTCTTAAATCACTTAAAAAACTAGTTCAAGTGAATATGAACTGCTCCAAAAATGTAACTTGACCGTAAAATCAAAATATATACTCCACAATTTATTTTGAACAAAATAATAAATAAAACTGAATCGGAAAGTGAGGTTGCAATTGCAATAAGGATGTAGCCGACCAATGAATAATTTGTACAGATAAATATTTTTTTGATAGAACGTTGCTTACAGTAACTGTAGCATTGCAGTCTTTCCTAGGTCGAGAAACTTGTAGCCCAACTTGTTTTTGGCCCATAAGCCCATTTTGACATGGGCTTCAGTTGTTACTCTCATTATACTCGGTGTCCGACGACATATCCGCGTGCGTCGTTAATATGTTTAGGCAGTTATGTGAAGACAAGTAGACGACGTATTTTTGTAAACTGCAATTATTTTTCTTGATAAATGTCGTTTGAATTTTAAGCCGTGGTTCGACGACAGAACATCGTACGGCATTATCAGCAGCTCGAGAGTCGAGAGCTTAATGTCGCCCTAAACGACAATTGATTTTTTAGCGATGGAAAGGAAAACAGTACTACACGGAGTCATTGTCTTGCCTCCTACAAGCTCCAAGAAAGAATTGCGTCATTGGCCTGGTTTCCATCTTCCATTCCAAGAAATCAGAGTGAAAGAGGAAAGGCAGCCTTTTATGTATCTCTTCTTAATAAAATTCCTTGCTTATTTAAAAAAAAGTACAAATATATCTAATAGATTTATGAATAATCCTGACAAATTAATTAGTAGGTTGGCGGGGAAGATTAATTATAAAATAGAATTAATAGAAAACATTATAGGATAATGAAAATGGTGAAAAAACAAATATGAAGGTAAAACTAGGAATTTTCAAAAATTACAAATATTTTGTAAAATATTCAACCAAGCAGAAAAAACACAAATATGCCTTGTACAAAACTTCTCTTACAAAATTAAAAAATGTAAAACTTAAAAAAAAAAAAAAAAAAAAAAAAAAAAAATATTTTAGGATAAATTGAAATGCGTGAAAAACAAAACAAAAATATGAAAGGTTAAAACTAGGAATTTTACTAAAAAATTACCATAATTTATTTTGTAAAAAGTATTCAATCCCAATGCATGAAAAATAACACAAATTATGCCTTGTACAATAACTTCTCTTCACAAAATTAAAAAATAATTGTTAAAACTATAAAAAAGAAAGAAGAAAGAACAAAAAAGAAAGAAAGGGAGGACAGGACTGAGGGAATCGTGGAAGATTGATTTCTAAGATCAACAAGCGTGACTGAAAAGTTCGGAAATCTAAAAAAAAAAAAAAAAAAAAAAAAAAAAAAAAGGACTGAGGAATCGTAAAGTTGATTTCTAATCAACAAGCGTGACTGAAATCAATCCTTCAATGTTTTTTGTTTTACCCTCTGCTTCTTCTTCTTCACCAACCCAATCAATACCAGTTAACTCTCTTGCTCTATTTGCTTCCATTTCCCAATCTGTCCTCATCAACACCACCACCATAATAACAGCACAAACAACTTGAGCAGCCAACAAGCCCAACCAAAGTCCCAGTAAGCCCAAGCCCATCACAAAGCCCATTAATATAGCAATAGGCAATCCTATACCATAAAAAGAACTCAAATTTATATTAGCACCAAGAGTTGGCCTAGCACTGCCTCTCAATACCCCACAGCCGGTAGTTTGAGGGCAGTTCCCTAGCTCACAAAGCCCTACCACCGGCATTGCGGAGGCAGTCAACGACAAAATGGCATTATCGGTAGTGAAAATTTGACCCCAAGCATGCCTCATCGATATCATGAATAGCATCGCAATAAAACCCATGAAAATAGCACATGACAATGCAACAACAGAAGAAGTTTTTGCTTTGCTAGGCTGGTTCGCCCCTAACTCATTCCCTACTCGAGTTGAAACAGCTAGACTCAGCGCTGAAGGGAAAATATAAAGAAGAGAAGTCGCTTGTATTAAAATTCCCATTGTAGCAACTGCATCAGAAGCGTTTGTTAAAAGTCCCGAAAACACTATCATAAGCTCATACCACCACCATTCTAAACAAACAGAAACGCAACTAGGGATAGCCAAATCAAGAATCGGCTTCCATTCATCGAAACAACGAAGAGACCAACCTTGCCATGACTCTCGACAAATGCCAGAGAAACAAAGGTAAAGCAAAAGAGTAACGAGAAGATTTAAGTCTGTTATAGTTACTGCAACAGCTATGCCTTGTATGCCAAGGTGATAAACAAGTATGTGGTTTATTGGAACATGTAAAATTAGGGCAAAAGCTGAACTTAACATAAGAGGAAGAGTTATATTTTGAGTTCTTAGGTAGATTTTAAGAGGGTTGATAAAAGATTGAAGAATTAGATCAGGAAGAGAGAAAGCTAGATAAGTAGAAGCAATGGAAGAGATTGAAGGGTCTTGACCACAGAATATAAGGAGAGGCTCAATGTTTAGCCATAAAAGAGAAATGGGTATGCAACATAATGTAAGAATTGCTATCGTTCGTTGAAGAGTTTGGCTCATAAGAGGCCATTGCTTGGCTCCACAAGCTTGAGAGGAAATAGCTTCCATTCCCATAGCAAGACCAGAGATAACAGAGTAACCAGAAATGTTAGCTATTCCAATGGAAAGAGAGCCTCCTGCTAATACTTCTTTCCCTAATTTACCCATGAAGATCATTGAAATTGCAGACTTGCCATAGATGAGAAGTCCTGTAATGATCATCGGAAAGGCTATGGTATAAAGCTGTTTGATTTCTTCAACAGCCTGAAAATGATGAAAAAGAGACAAAAACAGATTAATTAAGAACAAAAAAGGATACGTAATTAACTTTAGGTTATTAGAAAAGAAAGGACAAGAAACGATGGTGGCATATTGAAAATAACCTGTGAAAGAGAAGGCCTCCATGATTGGTATTGGCAGTAAAGAGAATCTTGCTTATTTTTTTCTTTTCTTGATTTTCCAGAATTATAACGGCTTAACAGAGGAACAGAAGCTGAACCTGAAATTCCTTGATCATTCATTTTATAAAAGATCAAGGTTTTTCTATTCAGCTTGAAGTGTACAAACTTATAGTAACTAGCTAAGAGAAAGAAAAATAATAATAACAAAAAACAGGAGGTATATATTTTATTAATTCAAGATTCGAGTTGGGTTTTGAAAGAACATTCTTTTCTTCCAATCTCAATCTCTAATATATATATATATATATATTAGAAATGTGATAAATATATGCACATTGAGAAGTAAAGGGAGAGAGATAAAGTGTGTAGGTCTCTCTCTAGAATTCTACTTTCTTTCTGTTTTTGTTATTTACTAGCTTTCTCTCTCTATAAACGACTCAAGGTTAGTTAGGGTTTGGTGGTGATGAAGAGGAATGGACGAGTGTGGGGAGGATAAGGAAAGGAGGTGGCCATGCGGGTGGTTCGTCTTTTTCTTTCAAGAGTTCGTCGGCACTCTAAAAACAAATAAATAAACTTCAAATCCTTTTTTATTTTAGAAAAAGAAATAAAATCCACCCAACTTAAGCAGGAATGGATTATAATTTTATCCAACAATAAAATAATAGTGGGAAAATATTAATAGTAACTAAAAAATGACAGAAAAAATCCAATAATATTTTTTTCTATAAATTTAAATTTATGGCAACGAGGAATAATAAGAGAAACTCAAGTTACAGTCGCTGGCAGCTCCTCTAAATGCCTAACACGGAAAGCTGTCAACACATGCATCATCTAAAAGGTCACTGTAATGCCTTAAAACAGCCATTGTTTCTCTATTCATGGCCGGTCCCTCTTCTTACTAAAATATAAGAATCTTTTAGCTTGTGGGTCCCTCCCTTAAGGTGGGTTCCACAATTGAGTTTTTGAGGGGTTCGGTTAATAGTACTGTGCTAAGTACTAACGTAATATCAATGAGGCTAGCACGTGTGTGCTTCCTTTGCCACGTGCCTTTGGTAAGCCATGCACCTTTCTTGCGTGCTTTGTATCTGAAGGTAAAACCCGAAAAACGACCTTCCGGTTGAGAGTGCGGTTTTATTTATTTGAAATTCACATTTTAAAAAATCATTTTAATTGATTTTTAATAAGCAACTATTTTATTTTTTTTCTTAAAAATTGCTGGAACAGAACTTTGCCAGCTGCACACGCATGCCTTTGACTGATCAAGGAGTATTTTTGCCATTTTCTACAAGAATTAAGGGCTTTAAATGCAAGCTTTAGGTATGTCACGAAGCTAATTTTGATATGCTAGCGGCAGATAATGGGCTGTCAAATTGCCTTTTGGAGCACCTTAATCGATAAAAAGGGCCCCATCTATTTTATTTTTGACCACAGTAACTAGATTACAAATGAGAAAGAGTCTTCAGAAGAGAAACTGAGTTTTCAAGTGCGAATAGAAACTGGACCAAAATCCAAGTAATACCACTGTCGTTTTGTTAAAGGTAGCTCCAAGTTTTTAAGACAACAACTACTTTTTTTTATGTCGTCGTCGTCGTCGTCATTATAATAATAATTATTATTATTAAATTATCTCACTATGCAATGATTCCTGTGGGTGGGGTCATAATCAATTAGAGTCTAGAAGTTAGAGATTGGATAAGGATTCCACTAACTACACATTCCTTAATTAATTATGTAGCCTAAGAGCCAATGGCCTCTCTCTTGAGTAATATCCGAGGGACCACGGCATGCCACCATACACAAAATGATCTCTTTTTATATAATTTCTTTCGTAATAGAAGATACAGGGATGAGGCAAGGACGTAAGATATTTAATTTATGTAGTAGTATATAATAAACAGAAAATACAAAATACAAAATGTAGACGACAACAACAGTCAATTCTGTCTCCTTTCTTCCCTTCTATTAGACATGGCCTTCCTCTAATAAAATACTCCATTAATGGAGTAAGTTTTTCTCAATTAATTAAACTTAGAAGGGCTTAATCCTCAAAATGGGCTGGCATTGTATGAGAAGATTTCACGTGATTAGATGCTCCACCTGAAACTTCTACTAAATGGAACTGACCCACTACTCGTCTCGATAAGTGATTATTATTATTATTAGTATTATTATTTTCGATTTCTCAAAGTTTACTAGTTTTCTCACCTTATTTCCCAACATAAAAGCATTTGCTTACTGCTAGTCTTGTTTATTTGTCGAATTTTATTAATTACGTAAAATACAATCTGTTCTTTAATTACGCAAAATATTGTCTGGTCTCGAAAGGTATTATGCAGCAGAGATCACATTCTCTGATTAACTGTGTTTTTTTTTAACGTCCAAACCTCAAATTTATGTACTTGAGCTTCAGTAAGGGGACCATTAGTTAGGTCTTAAAAGCAAAACTTACCAACTAGAGCTGAACATTTTATTGAGCTGGACCTATGCTATGAAGGAGCTGTGCTCCTCTAAGCTAAACATTAAACGTAACAATACACAAAAACGTGTTAGTGGGACAGATCAACTTCGCCGATTCTGGCATTCTGATATAGACAGGAATTTCAACCAACAGAACAGAATCGGCAAAGATGGCGTCACTTTTGCCAAAATGATTATAGCTTTAAATTCCAGCAGAGAATTATGTTCTTTGTTAAATTTCAAACATAAAATTCTACACAAAAAATAACACAAACACAAATCCTGTTGCTACTAGTTAAAAGCCTCCTTCAAAAGGGTTTTAACTATTGAATAATCCTTGAAATCATATATGGGTTACCTACTAGTTATCCAAGGAAGTAGTTTCCAAATTGATAATGGAGCCAAGGGCAGTAAACTTGTTACTTTGACTATTATTATCTTACACTTTTGTTCTAATAAACTTGTTCTATGGTTGAATTTCTTTATGGGAAAAAGAAAAAAAGATCAAGCAAAGGATAACTCCATTGCATTTGACCTGCAAGAAATGAAGTAGTCTCCTAATTAGCACCACCTATAAAGGAATCTTCTTAAATCAGACAAAACCTATTTTGTAACTAAACTCAAAGCTGATATGGTAACTAAGTTGTTGCTAACAACCAAATTTTCATTTTCACCCTCTTCAATTACCGTACAGATCATACAGTTTATATGGAACATGCAAACTAAGGTGGATAAAAATGTCAATATTGTTGCAACTACTCACAGATTATCCGAATCATACATGAGGACTTCAAGAGTTGGAAAGATTACAAGAAGTCAAGTGTCATTTTGCTTTTTGTGGACATTGCAGATAATAAATCATCTTCACAAGATCTCAGAAATCTGCAATGTAAGGATATTTATGTTATCATATATCCAGAGTAAATGCATACAAAAGGTCACCATTCAGAAAGAAAAAGGAAAAGATATCCTGAAGCTACCCAAAAATGCTTTAAATAATAATACCAATAATGATGACAACAAAGAAAGTAACAACCATAAATATAAAAAGCTAACAAACAGATCAAATGAAATATCTGTCTATCATCATGCTAGCTGTTTCTTTTTCTTTTTATTTTTTTATTAAAAAATAATTACGCTAACTCCTAGCCTACGCGCATAATTATTTGGACCCTTAGAATAAGTTAAATGCTATGTTGCCTTGGTAATATGCAACCAATAAGTAGGGAACAAGAAAGAAGTAACATACGTTAATAGGCATTTCAGCTATGACAAGGCCGCTGCTCTCTTCGACACTTTTAAGAGTCACCACTTCTCCCCCAACAACCATATTGACTACAATCCCATCTGAAAAAGTTTGCATAGAGTTATTAACTTATTATGAATTAAAAAACCGATACTACTAGTACATGTGTAATGTGTGTTTGAGAGCGCGTGTGTGCATGTGTGCACGTGTGTGTATATATGTTATTAAGAGATCAACCTGCTGCCAAACAACTAGCCATGCGTCTCGCATATGTTTCCTGCAAGCAGGCCAAAAAATTGACAAAAATCTCTAAATTGAATTCCTCAGTTATTAGTATCAAGGAAAAAAGTACATACACTCATGTAATGAAATAAAAAAGTTGCAGAAAACAAAAGCCTCAAACGAAACTGAATGTGGTTTGTAGCTAACATCACCATCTTCGATGGAGCATTAGCAAAGGCATGCATGGAACAGACAAATAGGAACTGGAATTGCTTTGAGCCACTTCCATGGGAACCAAATCAATCAGTGATTGACCAGCAAGTATTTAGAGCATCTCCCTGTTAAGCGTATCAGATAAGGGAAGCCCTTTGGCCCATGATTGTTGTGATCTTTTTGTCAAAAAGTTGGGCTGAACCGAGTATTAGTGAACCAACCCTTCACAAAAGGTTGGGCTAAGTATGATAGATCTCTTCAAGTACTTAGAATTCTTAGAGATTGTAAATTGGCATGCATATTGCATTCAATCAGACAGACAGACATATTTCTTTTAAGAGATGATTGATTGTAGATAGAACTACTCTTAGATAGTTACAAGATGGACATGAAAAGACTTCTTGGAAAGTGGACAACATGCCAAAAGAAAAGTGAAAAATGAATTCATTATGATCTTGTCAAATCAAGAAGATAATCAGATATCAACTGAAGCTGAAGTGCCAAACATATGAATCAAAGCCCAAGGCTGGAATATGAAAATCACAAGAAACGAGGAAGCAGCAAGCACACTATATAATTGCAAATACTTCATAAGAATTACTGCAATTTCTAGAACTTCAGGCTCGATTACAGAAGAATGTACAAAGCAACATCAAGTTGGCCCAAAACTTTAACCAATATAACCTGGCAAGCACTTGATGAAGTGTTCAGGGAAAGAGAAAGTGGAGTTCAGAAAATAAACCAGTTAAACATTGCTGTTTTGAAAAACACAGAAATACATGTAGATAATCTAACTAATGGCAGAATATATTAAGGTCACCTTCTTCATTGGTAACTCGTAATTAATCAGAATACGAGCTGAAATTGGTGACTCCCCACAAGCAAGAAGTGGAAGGCATGTATCCGTTACGACTATCATGTGAGATTTTTCCTCATCTTTTCCAATTTCACTACCATCTGCTGACTGAGGAGCGAGATTCTGGTTCCATCTCAACATTGCTTGTCTAAATTTGTCCAAAACTAAGGTACGTTCTGATTCAGCTAGATCACTGTACTGAGCAAAATATTTGGAAGTTGTATTATCAAACATTTATGTACGAGCAAATAATATAAAACCCCTAGATTCAATATTTCAAAACATTAATTCCACAAGATATCCAAAATAATTACCTCAAGAACAATGACCGAAAACATACTTCAAATACTATAGTGTTCAAATTCAAGGTGCTAAAATATATGAATACTAACCTACCAACACAGGTTTTATTCAAGAAAGCAAATTATTCAACGCTGGATTAGCACTCTAATTGGATGGAAGAACGGGTCCACCTAAAAAGTCTTTCAAAAAAAAAAAAAAAAAAAAAAAAAAACTAAAATATTAATGTACTAACCTACCAACACACGGTTTTATTTCAAGAAAGCAAATTATAACACGCTGGATTAGCACTCTAATTGGATTGGAGAAACGGTCACCTAAAAAGTCTTTCAAAAAAAAAAAAAAAAAAAAAAAAAAACAAAAATAAAAAGAAACTGCCTAGAGCAACTTGCCAACCATACATAAACCAAACGCCTAATCATATGTTTTATCTTCCAAACATAAGACTCGAGAGTTGCTAATTATACGCCAATATAGGCAAGGTTGACTAATACGGAAGAAGCAAGACACAGAAGAAACAACCAATCATTGCTAGTAGAACAGTTGTTAAACTTAAAGAAATCAGTGAATTCTTGCACTTACCAGAAAAAGGGTTACTCCCATCTCTGCAACTTACAGAAAAGGAAAAAAAAAAAAAAAAAAAAAAAAAGAAACTGCCAGTAGAGGCACAGCCACATACATAAACCAAACGCATAATCATACTGTTTTATCAAAAAATCCAAACATAAGACCTGAGAGTTGCTAATTCATACGCAATATAGGCAAAAGGTGACTAATAGGAAGAAGCAAGACACAGAAGAAACAACCCAGATTCATTGCTAGAACAGTTGTTTAACTAAGAAATCAGTGAATTCTTGCACTTACAGAAAAGGTTATCCATCTTGCACTTACAGAAAAGGTTATCCATCTTAAACGGATCTCTCAAACTTCCAACAATATGAGTATACAATCAGCAAATCAATTGGGCACATTATAAAGGAGAAAAGAAAAAAACGACACTCGAAGCACTTAATTCATGAAACCAAACAATTGACGCAACTATCGAATAATGATTCAGGTAATATATTAACACTGAACTCTAAAATCAAATAAACCCTAAAGCAGAGGTGGATATACGGAAAAAATAATTTTACCAGAGAAGCGAGAGAAATGTAAGGGAGGCTAGAGACGGCTGAGCAGACAGCGTCGAGCTCGTCCCGAGAGCTGCAGCATAACACCATCGGCAGCCCAGAGCGGCGTCCCGCTACGCCCAACAAGTCCACCAATGTCTCCTGCAAATTTAAGAGCAGTCAACGGAAGGTCTTTTGAGATTAAACAAATTATATATAAAAATAGTAAAAAAAGAACGGGAGAAACTTGTTTGAACCATCCGAATTGAAAAATTGGAGAGGGAAAGATATAGAATGAACCATTTTGAACTGCAGTCTGTCAACGGCGACATAGAAGTGGCGTTGTTGACTGCAACCGGAAAAAATACTAATGACATTTTTTATTGAAGAGAAGAGAAAGTACAAATGAAGAAATTTAAATAATTAAAAGAAAAAAGAAAAGGGAGGCGCCTGAAATGGGAAGGGGATTGTGGCAGAGGAGAAGCGGCTTCAATTGCGTCCATTCGTACCAGCTCTCTCGAGCATGAACTAAGCCCGATAATAACCGCACCAAGCTGCCATGTGATTTTGAGGTTCATTTATTTTATTTGAGCGGCGTCGTTTCAGCTGAACTTGATTCGTTTAAGATTTTATTAGAAGAAAAAACATCTAAAAAATATCACATCTTGGAAAAATGGACAGTTGAAGTTACTCCTCTGTCTCATAGTTTTTGACCTACTTTGCTTTTTCACGTGTTCTAAATTATTGTACTGTTTTTTTTTTTTTTTTTAACTTTCATCTTAAATATTCAATTCGTATGAATTTATTGTCTAGTTCTCGATTAAACTAGTTATGATTCTCAAAAACTGTTTTTGATAATATTTATGATTGAGGATAATCAATTGCTAACCTTAATTTTTCTTTCTTTCTTTCATTTTGTTTTTTTTTTTAAGAACAATTACCTCAACGAGCGAAGGTATTTTAAGAAATAATAAATCAAATTCATTTGATTATATTACATTATGGTCATGTAATAAAATGTGCTGTAATAAGATTAAATGCATTAAAAATTAAAGGATAAATTGTTTTGAATTAATTTTTCGATAATTAAGTAATATGAACGGTGCGTTCTTTTATTATGAATGATTTGAATTAAGATTAAGGCATACCACTTTTATATGATTTAGTTTATATCAAAATCACTTCTCTTTTAACCTTGAAAAGTTGAAATGTAGCATTTTGTCAAATTTAAAAACAAGCATAAAAAAATGCGGAACAATTAACTTGTATAATAAGCACATATGGCAAAATATGTTGTCAGAAAATAAACTAAAATTAGTTTTCATTATGTATTGGCATTTTTTTTTTGTTTTGTAAAAAATAAGCATAAATATAATTATTAAGTCAAGCATATAAGAATTTAATAATATTTTATCATTACAATCAATTTTAATTTTTCTTCAGTCATATGTTTTCAAAATAACAATTAATTTTGCTATATATATATTGATATTAAATTGTAATTTTGTTTCTTCGCATTAAGGTTGGGTAACAAATAAACAGGACGAGAACTGGGAGTAAACAGTAGTTGTGCTTGTGGTCCTAGTCCAACGCCCACGTAAACTTAAGAAAAGAGCCCGGACAGGTACGATAAAACGAACCAAGGACCAGGGAAGGGTATAAGTGAAAATTTTCTCATTTTAAGTCGGCGAATACATAAAAAGACAAGGAATAAGTAGGAGACAATTACAAATAGCATAAAGTAGAGGGGAGCAAAACAAGAAAAAGAAAAAACCATCCCTTATTTTGCTCTCGTGCTCTAGCTCCCCTCTCTCGTTTGCTCTCTCTCTCTCTCTCTCTCTGTGGTTTCAGTAGGGCTTCTCTGTGACGTTCATCTCGTACTCCTTTCTCCGCGGCGCACGTTATCATCGCCGTCTCTATCCTACGCCCCCAGAGGTAAGCTACACATCATATGCCTCCTTTCTTCCAGTTCATTTTGATCTCTCCACACCGGAGAACTAAAACTGAAGAAACAACAGAAAGACATTTTTTTAATGAAAGCTAAATTATATACAATAGTTTAAATTATTATTTTAGATTATTCATATTTGTTTGATTTTATTTTTGGCTTGATCAGGGTTAGAGGGAGTTTCCGCTATCTAGGGTTTGATCGCCTGATCTTCGTTTACGGTTAGATCTGTTACTATAGAGAGAGGAATAGTTTTTTGTTGGAGAAAAAAAAAAATCTTAGGGTCAGGGGTTGTTCTATTTATTTGATGCGTTGGCGGGGATCCGAGGCCTGCAAACGGGTTGATATTCTGGGTGGGACCCTGAGATGGCCAATCCCGGAGTCGGGAACAAGTTTGTATCTGTGAATCTCAATAAATCCTATGGCCAGCATCAGTATCACCAGCATCATCATAATAATCAGCATCATTCAAGCTCCTATGGTTCAAACCGCACCCGCCCTGGGGGAGGTGGTGGAGGGATGGTGGTGCTTTCGCGGCCCCGTAGCTCACAGAAGGCTGCTGGGCCGAAGCTTTCTGTTCCACCCCCCTTGAATTTGCCATCACTGCGGAAAGAGCATGAGAAGTTTGATTCATTGGGATCAGGTGGAGGGCCTGCTGGAGGAGGTATGGGAAGTGGGCCTCGCCCTAGTTCTTCAGGTATGGGTTGGACCAAGCCTGGCACAATTGCCATACAGGAGAAAGAAGGTTTTGGTGTTAATGGTGACCATACACTTGATGATAGTAATAGCAATAATATTCACGGTGTTGATCAGGGATTGCCTGGTGTTGTCAATGGGGTCAGCAGCGGTAGTAATGTATATACACCCCCTTCGGCTCGGTCAGTGGTGTCTGCAGTTTCTGTTCCTTCTCGGGGTTATTCGGTTGCAGAGAAAGCTATGGTTTTGAGGGGCGAAGATTTCCCTTCATTGCAGGCCGCTTTGCCAACTTCTGGGCCTGAAAAGAAGCAGAAGGATGGTATGAATCAGAAACAGAAGCAAGTATTGGGTGATGAGCTGGCTAATGAGCAGAGAAATGGTTCCCAGTTCAGCACACTTGTTGATATGCGTCCACAATCACAGTTGAGGAATAATATTGGCAATGGATTACAACACTATGGTGGTGAAACCCGTGGTTTTGGTGGTTCTGTAATGCCTGAGAAAGATCGAAAGCAGGACGACCTTTTTCCAGGACCATTGCCGTTAGTTCGATTGAATCCCAGGTCAGATTGGGCAGATGATGAGCGTGACACGGGGCATGGTTTGACAAATAGGGGGAGGGATCATGGGTTTTCCAAGAGTGAAGCTTACTGGGATATGGATTTTGATTTCCCAAGGCCCAGTATATTGCCACAGAAACCCGCACATAATTTCTTTGATAGGAGGGGACAGCGTGACAATGAAACTGGAAAGATTTCTTCCAGTGAAGTCACCAAAGTGGATACTTATGGGAAAGATGCAAGAGTGTCTAGTAGGGAGGGACGGGAAGGAAACTCATGGAGAGCTTCTTCTCCTCTTTCAAGAGATGGATTTGGTGTCCAAGAGGCTGGGAATGAAAAAAATGGTATTGGCGCAAGACCATCTAGTCTGAACAGGGAAGCAACAAAGGAGAATAAGTACATTCCATCACCTTTCCGAGACAATGCTCAGGATGATGCTGGAAGGAGGGAATTGGGGTATGGACAGGGAGGAAGGCAACCTTGGAACAACAAGATGGATTCTTTTGGCAGTAGAGGGTCTGAATGGAGTGGTCGAGAGCGTTATGGAAGTGAACATAACAACAGGTTCAGAGTTGACACAAACCAGCATAATGCAGCTTCCAAGTCATCATTTTCTTTGGGTGGTAAAGGGCTTCCAATTAATGATCCCATACTGAATTTTGGTAGGGAGAAACGCCCATTCTCAAAGAGTGAAAAGCCCTATTTAGAGGACCCTTTCATTAAGGACTTTGGGGCTACTGGTTTTGATGGGCGGGATCCCTTTACTGGAGGACTTGTTGGGCTGGTTAAGAAGAAGAAAGATGTGCTTAAACAGATAGATTTCCACGACCCTGTTCGGGAATCTTTTGAAGCTGAACTTGAGAGAGTTCAGAAGATGCAGGAACAAGAGAGACAACGGATAATTGAAGAGCATGAAAGAGCTATGGAGCTGGCTCGGAGAGAAGAAGAGGAGAGAATGCGGCTGGCTAGGGAACAAGAAGAGCAACAGAGAAGGTTGGAAGAAGAGAGACTGGAAGCTATGCATAGAGCTGAACAGGAGAGACTGGAATCCATGCGGAGAGCTGAAGAACAAAGGATAGCTAGAGAGGATGAGAAACGCAGAATTCTTTTGGAGGAGGAGAGGAGGAAGCAGGCTGCTAAGCAGAAGCTTTTGGAATTGGAGGAGCGAATTGCAAAGCGGCATGCTGAAGCAGCAAACTGTGGTAATACTAATTCTTCTGGTGATAAAGATGAGAAAATGTCTGGGTTAGTACCAGAAAAGGATGTTTCCAAGTTGACAGATGTGGGTGATTGGGAAGATAGTGAAAGGATGGTAGAGAGAATCACAACTTCAGCATCTTCTGATTCCTCAGGAATGAATAGACCATTTGAGATGGGTTCTAGATCTCACTTCACTAGGGAAGGCTCTTCTGCGTTTCTGGACAGAGGTAAAGCTGTTAATTCATGGAAAAGGGATATATTTGACAATGGCAACAACTCGACATATCTTCAACAGGACCAGGAGAATGGTCATCGTAGTCCCAGGCGGGATATATCTATTGGAGGAAGAACTTTTCCTAGAAAGGAGTTATATGGGGGGCCTGGACTTGGTCTCCCGAGGACTTATCATAAAGGAGGGGTTACTGACACTCATATGGATGATTTTAGTCAAATTAAGGGTCAGAGGTGGAGCATTTCAGGAGATGGAGATCATTATGGTAGAAATACAGATATTGAATCTGAATTTCATGATAACCTTACTGACAGGTTTGGTGATGCTGGATGGGGACATGGTCATTCTCGTGGCAGTCCTTATCCTCCATACCCTGAAAGAATGTATCAAAATCCAGGGGCAGATGGGCTTTATTCCTTTGGGAGGTCAAGATACTCCATGAGGCAGCCTCGTGTTCTACCCCCTCCATCTATGAATTCGATGCTCAGAAATCCCTACAGAGTTGAGAATGACCATCCTGGTGCCTCAAAATTTCCAGAAAATGAGATGCAGTATAATCATGTCATGAGAAATGAATCTTCTGTGCAGACAATGTATGATAGCAGCCACCAGGAGAACATTGGACATGCTGAAGGAATTGATACCCAGCAAGAGCATGCTGAGAATGAAGCACACAAAATGGATAGGAATACAGCAAGATGTGATTCACAGTCCTCGCTCTCTGTTTCAAGCCCTCCTGATTCTCCGGTCCATCTCTCTCACGATGACTTGGATGAATCTGGAGATTCTCCAGCTTTATCAGGTGGTGAAGGCAAAGACATTACCTTGTTGGAGCAAGGGAATGAATCTGCAACCTTACCTACTGAAGCTGAGCAAGAGAATTTGATGAGTGGGTCAAGTGTTATCTCTACTGGTGATGATGAAGAATGGACTATTGAGAATGATCAACAGTTGCAGGAGCAAGAAGAATATGATGAGGATGAAGATGGATATGATGAAGAAGATGAAGTGCATGATGGAGAAGATGAGAATGGTAACCTGGTAGAAGAGAAAGGTTCACCTGACATGATAGATAACTTGGTCCTTGGCTTCAATGAGGGGGTTGAGGTTGGGATGCCAAATGATGAGTTTGAAAGAAGCTCAAGGAATGAAGAAACCAAATTTGTGATTCAACAAATTTCTGCAGAAGAACAAGGCTCTTTTGAGGGGATGGGCAGTGATGGACAAATTCATCAACCTGTGGAGGGTTCTACTGTTGATAATTCTTCCAGAATCTTCCAGGAAACTGAGAAGGCAATGCAAGATTTGGTAATTCAACCTAAAAATTCTCCTCACACATCTTCTGAACTTGTGGATTGTGTGGATGTGTCTAGTAGTTCTGGCCTCTCCACTCAGCCCCAAGTCCCATCTTCATTAGGACAGACTGTCAGGTCCAGTGATCCTTCTATTCTCGGTCAGCCTGAGGTACCTGTTAAGCTTCAGTTTGGGCTGTTCTCTGGTCCTACTCTGATACCATCACCAGTTCCAGCCATACAGATTGGTTCCATACAGATGCCACTTCATCTTCATGCACCAGTTGGCCCATCCCTCACTCACATGCACCCATCACAACCTCCTCTCTTCCAATTTGGTCAGCTAAGTTATACTTCTCCTATTTCACAGGGGGTATTGCCGTTGGCTCCACAATCAGTGTCCTTTGTTCAGCCTCATGTTCCAACTAATTTTCCTTTGAATCAGAATGTGGGTGGTTCTGTGTCTATTCAACCTGGTCAAGAAACCACTGTTCAGAATCTGATGAAAAGTGATTTATTGTCTCTTTCAATGGACAGCCAACCAGGCCTTCTTCCCAGAAACTTAGATGTATCTCATGGTCTAGCTTCAAAAGAGGGAAGTTTGCCACCAAGAGAAAGAGCTGATAAAACTGTAAAACTGCAGCAGAACCGAGGAGATCTTTCTCACAGTAATGAGAGCAAAACTAGGCCTGAATCAGGTTTCCCAGCAGAAGGTTCATTTGTGAAAAATTTCAAAGCCTCACCCTCTAAAGAATTGGAAGGCCAGCCTCAAGCTGGGGCAATATCATCTCAGTCAGTTTCTAAAGAAAAAGATATAGGCATCTCAAAAGGTCGGGGCCTAACATCAGGAGGGAGAGGGAAAAGATATATCTTTGCAGTAAAAAATTCTGGATCAAAACCAACATTTCAGGCTTCTGAAAGTTCTCGCCTAGATTCTAGTGGATTTCAGAGACCCAGACGCCAACGAACTGAATTTCGGGTTCGGGAAAATGCTGATAAGAGGCAATCTACTGGGCTTATTTCATCTAGTCCATATGGGACGGATGATAAGTCTAATAACATTGGTAGGGGTGCTCGAGCAACAAGTGCTTCGAGGAGGGTGGTTTTGTCCAGTAGACAACCAAAACAGACATTTGAATCAGAAATGTTGAACTCAAGGCCAGTTGGTTCACGGGAGGTAGATTCAGGAGGTAAGGCTGAAAAGGGAGCTGGAAATGAATCTTTGAGAAAGAATCAGAGCATTTCACGCTCCGGAGAGGATGTTGATGCTCCTTTGCAAAGTGGAATTGTCCGTGTTTTTGAGCAGCCTGGCATTGAAGCTCCTAGTGATGATGATGATTTTATTGAGGTCAGATCAAAGAGGCAAATGCTGAATGATCGACGTGAACAGAGAGAGAAAGAAATCAAAGCAAAGTCTCAAGTTTCAAAGGTTCTATTACACTTGCTCTTTGAATTAGCTGTCCCTTTTGTTTGTAGTAAATAATACTAGTCTTAATTACTTCATGTTGATGCTAGATGCCACGAAAACTTCGTTCTACCTCACAAAGTACTGTTGCATCGGGTACCTCAAATAAAATTTCTGTATCAGTTGGTGCAGAAGCATTAAACAGTGCCCGCTCTGATTTTGTTGGCAATGATGGACATGGCTTAGCAAATGTTGAAGTGTCTGCAGGATTTAATGCACCTATAGTTTCCCAACCACTCCCTCCAATTGGGACTCCTGCCGTGAAAAATGATGCCCAAATCAAGTAAAAACATTTCTCAAACAAGTCTAGAAATCCAAATTGTATGCACATATGTGTTAATCTTATATTTTTATCTTGCAGGTCCTTCCAAACAGGCTCCTTAACAGTTGTATCTGGTGGAGGAAAGAACCTTGCTACTGGCTTAATGTTTGAGACCAAGAATAAGGTTCTGGATAATGCCCAAGCATCTTTGGGCTCTTGGGGTAATTCACGTATTAATCAACAGGTATGCAGATGTTCTTGCTAAATGCTATAACTGGTATATTTGATGTTCGTCTTGTGCTTTGTTCTTTCCATTTTATTTCGTGTCAATATGAAGCTGATTAGATTTTGCAGCAAAGGAAGAAAGCGTGATTGGAGTTTTGGTGATTTCTTGTTGTTATGCCTCTCCTTCCCCCTCCTTTGCTGTTGCTATTGTTGGTGTCTGTTTGTTGAAGTGTGTTACAGTTTCATCCATGATGTGTTCTTTGGGAATTGTGATGGTCTAATCCTTGTTGCTGCTTGACTTTTCCGTATTCTAATTTTGCTGCAGAATCTTCATTTGCTATTTGATGTTTGCTTAAATGAGAATTGATTTTTCATCTATTTGTAATCTTGCTCAGGGTTAGGGATGTAAGCACGACTATTTGTGCATACATGTGCAAGTCTTCATACTCATTTCTCACATTCTGTTGGCTCAACTTTGATGAGGGGAACTGAGTATGAAGTAGTAAAAGGGAAAAAGAGAAGGGAAGGGGATGGGCTGTTTTCATGTAGAGAGGAAATGCAAATTTTAGTTAGGAGGTGTTATCTTTTTAAGATGTTGTATTTTGAGGTTTTCCTTCAAAATCTTGAGGGGTAATTACTATGTGGTCCGTAGGGTTTGGTCAAATATACTAGTAAGGATCTTGGTTTCTAAATTGCATTATCTAGTCCTTGCATTATGTACCTGTTACACTATAACGTACTTCCATTAAAAATTTTATAATTTTCTGCTAGTCAATCTTATTTTAGTAAAACATTAAGTAAGTCGAATAAAAATATTTGAAGTTACAAAAACATCCTTCCACTATAGAACTTTAAGCTTTGGGTTTCTCCAAATTCATATTTTACTCTGTTTTTTAATTATTTTATTATTTTCCCTTACTCAACACTATTCATCTTCCTCTTATTATTGGCGACATTTTTGGCATTTCACAGTCACTTGATGAAAAAACTAACAGTTGGACCAATTAATATAACAAATTGACAATTGAATAACTTGATGGTGTAATTTTGAAAATTGAGGTCCTTATTAGTGTATTTGATCAAACGTAGGGACTAAATAGTAATAACCCCAAATCTTGACTGCATCAAAATGAAAGTTTTGGTAATACTTTGGAGAATTTTTGCCCTCCCTGTTCATTTTCCATTTCTCCTTTTCCTTATCAACTCTAGACTGAAATAGGTAAAGTGAGGTAAGTCAACATTTTCCCTCACCCTCCAGCCCCCAGACCCCTTCTCACATTTCTATGCACATCTAGTGAGTTGCTTTAAATATATGCTTTCTGTTTACTAGGCTTCATGGTGTCAAATGTGCATAGCTTTTGTTGATTTCTAAGAAGTTGTTTCTGTGGTTTGAAGTTATGAATAATGGGGCAATCTTCTGGCATTAAGCTTCTTATTATTGGTTTAGTAACATTTGTTAGCTAATCCTAAACCCTAAACTGTAACCCTTTTTCTTCAAACTTTTAGTAGGCTGATTTCGAGATATTGGCTGCCTCTATCTGCTATTTTACATCCTCTTCCGAATAAGCTGTAGAAATGATAGAAGGATTCAGTAGATCAAGCAATCTGATCAATTTTTTGTTTTGTTAAATTGTTTTGAGATTTTGTTTGGTAAGTTATTAGTTGCATGATGCAGTTTCAGGCTCATTGATCTAGTTGTATCCCAAATAATGTTCTGTCCCTTTTATATTGTTGTCTCATATGTTCAATAGATCTTTGGACAATGATAAACTGATTCACTTTATCTGGTAGGTTATGGCCTTGACTCAAACTCAACTTGACGAGGCTATGAAGCCTGCACAGTTTGATTCACATTCTTCTGTTGGAGATCCTTCTAAATCAGTTAGCGAGTCAAGCTTGCCAGCATCTTCCATCTTGACTAAGGACAAGTCATTTTCCTCCACTGCGAGCCCGATCAATTCATTGCTTGCAGGAGAGAAAATTCAATTCGGTGGGAACATATCTCCTGCAAAATCATTTGTATTCTTAAGATTGTTAGTTACATTATCTGAAGTATTTCGTTCCTGTTATCTTCAGGTGCTGTTACATCTCCTACAATACTTCCTTCTAGCAGCCGTGCTGTTTCCCATGGGATTGGCCCTCCGGGTCCATGTCGGTCTGACATTCAAATTTCTCACAATCTTTCTGCAGCTGAAAGTGATTGCTCTCTTTTCTTTGAAAAAGAAAAACACTCTGATGAATCGTGTGCTCATTTAGTCGATTGTGAAGCTGAAGCTGAAGCAGCTGCTTCAGCTATTGCTGTTGCTGCCATAAGCAGTGATGAGATTGTTGCAAATGGGCTGGGTACAGGTCCTGTCTCTGCTGCAGATTCCAAAAACTTTGGTGTAACAGATATTGATGGTATTACAGCAGGTGGCTATTTTTCTCTGCAACTTTTGTAGGGTTACACTTCTGAATCCTATAAGGATTTTTAAGATGATGTTATTCTTAACCATATTCTATCTTTGGCAGGTGTATCTGGTGATCAACAATCATCCAGTCAATCAAGAGCTGAAGAGTCCCTAAGTGTTGCTCTTCCTGCTGATCTTTCTGTTGAGACACCACCGATATCTTTGTGGCCAGCGTTACCAAGTCCGCAGAATTCTTCTAGCCAGATGCTTTCTCATGTTCCTGGAGGTCCGACTTCCCATTTCCCTTTCTATGAGATGAATCCAATGTTGGGAGGACCCATCTTTGCTTTTGGGCCACATGACGAGTCAGCATCTAACCAAACACAGGCCCAGAAGAGCAATACATCAGTTTCAGGTCCACTTGGAACCTGGCAACATCATTCTGGTGTAGATTCATTCTATGGTCCTCCAGCAGGTTTCACTGGCCCTTTTATCAGTCCTCCTGGAAGCATCCCTGGAGTTCAAGGTCCACCACACATGGTTGTGTATAATCATTTTGCGCCAGTTGGACAGTTTGGACAAGTTGGTTTGAGTTTTATGGGTACCACCTACATCCCATCTGGGAAGCAACCTGATTGGAAGCATAACCCTGCATCTTCTCCCATGGGTGTCAGTGAAGGGGACATGAATGGTTTGAACATGGTTTCTGCACAACGCAATCCCACTAACATGCCTACTCCTATCCAACACCTTGCTCCTGGGTCACCTCTCTTGCCTATGGCATCTCCTTTGGCCATGTTTGATGTTTCTCCTTTCCAGGTAAAAATTATAGATTTGTCGTCTGAAAAATTATTCTAGCTGCCAAAATGGTAATTACTTTTTCTTAGAAAGGGAAATGGTTGTGTGCTTGATCATTGAGATGTGGAAGATGCTGATGTAGTAGGAATATGCATATTCCGCAGTGAGCGCATGTGCAAAATTCCTGTTGAATGAAGCCATTTTATGTGCTTTCTGATCCCCCTTGTTTTTTGCTCTTTTGAAATAGAAATTAGTTTTCTTTGCTTGGTGGGTTATTAAAATTGTTTTAGAGGTTTGGTTTGAGGGTTTGTTGAATGAAATTCTTCAGAGGCTGGCAATATTAATTTTTTTATAAGATGTGACATTGATGTTTATGGAATAGCCTATACTGACCCTAGTGGTTTGATTAAAATTGTTGTGTCCAGTCCTCTGCTGACATGTCGGTCCAAGCTCGATGGTCGCATGTCCCTGCATCACCTCTTCAATCGGTTCCTGCGTCAATGCCATTGCAGCAGAAGGCAGAAGGTGCACTGTCTTCTCAGTTTAATCATGGCCCAGCTGTTGATCAATCATTAGGTAACAGATTCCAGGAGCCCCGAACGAGCACAACCTCTGACAATCAGAACTTCCCAACAGCTACTGATGCAACCGTCACCCAGTTGCCTGATGAACTTGGGTTGGTGGACTCATCGAGTTCCACGAGTGCTGGTGCTCCAACACAGAGCATTGTCATTAAGTGCCCTTCTGCTAGTGCTATCTCAGGCACTGGCAAGACAGATGCGCTGCTGAATGGCAGTGGGACCAGCAGCAGCAGCGACCAGAGTACAAATTCTGCTTTCAAGACACAATCTTCCCATCAGAAGAGTATGTCTACCCAGCATTACAATAATTCATCCGGGTATAATTATCAAAGGGGTGGTGGAGTTTCTCAGAAGAATAATTCTGGGATTGAGTGGCCTCACCGTAGGATGGGATACCAAGGAAGGAACCAATCCTTAGGTGCTGAAAAGAGCTTTCCTTCTTCAAAGATGAAGCAGATTTATGTAGCTAAACAGACTTCAAATGGGGCATCGACGACGTCGTGAAGAGAAAAGGAAATGAGCATCTTAGATTTAAAGGTTGAAAGCATTAGGACTGAAGCATCTTTCCGGTGAAAATTTTGTTTTTGGTTTTTATAAATTTTTGGCAAGGGGAGATTTGAAATTTTAGTGGTCTATAAGAATTGATATGCCAGTCTTTTGAAGGAGCTTTTCTGGAGCTGGCTGAGCACACGTCTGTTTTGGATCTTGATTTACAGAGTCTTGGTGCTACTATCTCAAGTTCCTGTGTGTTAGTTAGGGTGTTTATCCACATCATTTTTTTAGTGCCTTCTTTGTTGCCTGCACAAACCTAATTGTAATTCCTTGGGATTCATATATTAATGTTTAGTAAAAATCCAGCTGATGTGTTTTTCACACTACTGTTTGTAATGATAAATATATATATATATATATATGACAAGAAGACATTTCTGCCCTTGCATTACCATGTAAAGTGTCTGATAAAGTAACGGCCCGCATTCCAAAAAGTAAGAGCCGGAAGAGACGATGGCCCCCGGAATTTGGATTAGGCCTTTGTTTTCTAATTGCATCTATTTTTCACTCACTTTCTTTATATTGATATACAAATAAATGTGAAGTTATTGAACAATTTATACCTATAATTTACTAGATTGATCTGATTTGTTAACATCAAACCACTTTTTTAAAAATAAAAATACTAGATTGATCTATTTTATTAACATCAAACAATTATTCAAAAATAAAAATTTATTCCATCATAAGTAATTGTTTTTCCATACAATCTTTTAATAAATTAATTATGTTTTTTGAATCCTAAATTTTATCTACCTTAAAATTTGCTAATTTTTTTTTATTTATATAAGTGAAGTCCAATATGAGTTTATATCATTATACTTTGTGGGTGTACAATTATAAATTTTTAAATAATACAGTTATAATTTATCCAATTTGTTTTGATTATCATGTATTCTAAAAATACAAAATTATTAATGGCTATTTTTTTTCTTTTATTATATTGCAACATATAATAGTAACTACAATAAGAAAAAATATATTTTAGTCTTATTGCCATTTTAAATTTTTTTTTTACAAGAAATTTGCTTATAAGAAAAGTAAAAATTCATAAGAAATTTGTGAAATGTAACATATAAGTTATTAAAAATTATACCACTTGGTAGAGTTTAAGAAATTTAGATGTGTAAAATATTTACACAACCATGCCTGTTAAGTTATAAGTCTTTTTACACCAAAAATATATATTTATATATATATACAATATTTAGAATTATCACATAGTATTCACCACCCAACCTATTTAAAATTTGTTAATACTTTATTCATTTTTTTCAAGATATGTTAAAAAATATTTTCATTTTAATAAAAAAATTATTTTTCATTTATTTCGCCCATAAACAGCCTATAGGCAAATCAATCCTTTGTCAAGTCAAAGTCAAACACACGACTGCCCGTCGTATACAAAAAGTTAAACTTTGGTTTTCTTTTCGAAACTTCCTTCATCCAAAGTCGACAAATGGCCCTTTTATTAGATTTTTTTTTCCGTTTTTGTCTTCTTCTTAAAGTCAAATGCTACACTTTCCTCATCCTGATAGTAACGGAACAAATTCTCTGTTACATGCGCATATCAGAAAGTGGGGACACAGCGCGGGAATGTTATATGCGGCGTAAGGAGACCAATTAATATTTTCCAATATGAACATTTTCAACGAAGATATTTTTTTAAAATATGCAATTACCCGCGTAATATTTTCCATCCGTGGTCCCTGGTCAAAGGGGAAGTCGATGACAAAAGTGGTCTCACATCACATTTGACATTCCACTCAGTTCAGAAAAAGAAAATGACATTTAACAAAGAGAGACTTGACTTTTTGTTTCTTAGATGCTTCCTCGTGGCGCATGGTCTGTATTCTGTAATTTAAAAGGAAAATGCTTACCACTGTAATACATTTAAATGTTCTGCAACAGTTCTATCTTACATTTACGTAGAGTTTTATCTTCCTCTGCAACTACTTTGGTACACGTTTTCTCCTGTATTTTTCCTTTGTGTTTGCTTACTTGGGTGTCATGTCATCGGATAATATTTCTGAAGACTTTACGTTCTATCGTGCCTTTCGCTCTCTCACTTCTCTTGCCTTTCTGAAGATTTGCGCTTAGTTATTATTCCTCCATCAACCCCATATATAGCAAGTCAACGCCAGGTCTTAGGTTTTCAATTCGCAGCAGTCAAACTCGAGAAAGCACTTTCTTCTTTTTGGAAAAGTAGGAAAGAAATACATTAGCTTAGACAAAATCCGGGGTAAAACCCCACAAATATCATGAAGAAGAAAAGTGCTAATGGCCCATTCTCTAAACCGATGACCTTCTATTATTGCAAATGCGGATATTCATTTCTATTTTTCTAATCAGCAAATAATATTTTAATTTATTAATATATATATATATATATATACACACATATAGTCATGAAAAATTTAATATAACTCATAACTAAACCCTGGCCAGTAGGCTCTCCAGATACACCCCTAGCTACCTCATTGAAAATCCTGTAAAAATACATCACAAAAAGATTATCACAACAACAAGATAAAAGCTAATAAGTATAATCCAAAAGATAAGCCCAAGCCAAAATACAAGTTAAACCAGAAAACGAGGGAGGTTTTACTTGCATTTCTATTAAACAGAGGTCGCGACAGTTTTTCTTGCATTTGGAAACGTGTTTAATCTTCTATCATCATCGAATCTATTGAATCATCTTCCTCTGCAACTACTTTACTACTGCTTTCTCCTGCATTTTTATATTTTTCCATCTTTTCGTTATTTTTGCTTGTTTGTGCGTAATCAGATAATGGGAAGTTTGTTTTGGCTTTGTTTCCACGAAACTTAATTGCAGCAGTATCATAAGCTCGTGCAGCCTCCTCTGCCGTGCTGAAAGTACCGAGCCACACGCGAATTGCCCGCCACGGGTCACGTATCTCCGCCGCCCATTTCCCCCATGGCCTTTGTCTGACTCCCCTGTACTTGTTCTTCTTCTTATTCATTCTTTCCTTGTTACTATCATCTTTCTCTTCTTGGTTAGACCCGAAGAAATTGCAGCCGAGACAGTCAACTGAATCCATGTTACAGACGGGGCATTTGTCAGAACCTTGGAGAATATGAATAATGTTGGGCGGAGCTATTGATGACGTGTCACCAGAAATCACCTGTTTTAAAGCGGCAACCATGATGGAGTCTTCTTCTTCGCTGGTTAAACGATTTATATTTGTGGTGATGTTCATCTTTTTCGTCTTAACTTTCAAGAGGTTTCGCTACCAGTAACTGGAGAGAAGACGAGTGGGCGGGAAGCGTTTAAATATTAATACTGGAATGCCAGCTGACAAATGGACAACTTTTACACGCAACTCTATCTCCACAAGTGAGCAGAAACTGCAATTAGTGGAGCCCAAGGTGGTCCCACTCTATAAAGCTTAAAATTATTATTTTTAGTATTATCATTGGCTCCATGGCTTACGTAGGGTCGTTTTGCTGATAATATGATTGCCGGTAGCTTGTAGCTTAGCTTCGGATACAATTTTAATAGCGGTTAAAATTTTCAATAATAATTAAAGTATAATTATTTTTTATATTATAGTATATAATATATAATATTTTTTAATATATAATTATTTTTAATTTTTAAAGATTGAATATGTTATTTTTTATTTTAGTATGTTAAATTAAATAAAAATACTAATTAAATTTTTTAAAAAATAATATTATATAAACTTTATTATTTTAAATGAATTATAAATTAAAAATATAATCTGAAAAATATTGTAATTCTATTATAATTATTTTTATATGGCGTTAATTGAAATTTCAACAATAATATAAATATAAATTAGCTGCCATTTTATAATAAAAAATAAAAATAATATTATATAAACTTTATTATTTTTAATGAATTATAAATAAAATATTAATCTGAAAAATTGTAATTCTATTATAATTATTTTTATATGGTTAATGAAATTCAACAATAATATAAATATAAATTAGCTGCCATTTTATAAAAAAATTTCAAAATATAGCTGATAGAATTAGTTGAAGATTGAAATCTTTATCCAACACTTACAGTATAGTTAATGGGTACGAATTAAATATCAACTGCATGCAGGGGTGCAAATTGGTTGGAATCGTAGCCATTCAAATCAAATTTCAATTTGGAACGGGATTTTGGAGGTTCACCGACCCTTAGATAGCGGAGCCGTTGGCACGCAACGGCCCTCATAAAGTCTCTGCACTGTACTGAAAACTCCCGTAACGGGTGTGGATACTCGCTGTTACCTTCATGGAATCGTTTTCACAAACAATAATGAAATTAAAGAACGGCTTGTCGGCAACTGAATCCATCTTGTCTAGCTATTCTCCATCTTACATCAAACTGTACTTGCTAGCTATTCCATTCCCTGTTGCTTTTTGGATCAACATTCTTCCACATTAGAGTCATTGCATGATTTCATCACGCGTTTTTTATGCAGATTCAATGTTCAGAAAAGAAAACTGAACTGTATCCTGGTACTTTTCTTAATCTTCTTTCTTCTATACTAGACCTTACTCTATTCGCATCTCTCCACCGTCCAGCTGATGCGTACATACTAGAAAGCATAACGTATGATCCTGAATTTTCTGGGTCCATTTCAAATATCATCCCGCTAATTTTCTCCCCAAGTTCGACATCGTCATGGATTTTACACGCACCCAATAATGATTCGAGTAGGCTAATTGATGGCTTACATTTTAGCTTCTTAACAATGGCAAAAGCCTCTCTCAAGTGACCTGTTCTGCCAAGTAGGTCCACTATGCAGGCATAATGCTCCATTTCTGGTGATATCCCCTGCTCTATCATTGAATTGAAGACTATCCAACCTTGCTCGACTAAACCAGCATGGCTGCAAGCTGATAAAATACTCGAATAAGTAATTTTGTCGGGTCTCATGCCTGAAAATTGCATCTGCCAGAAAAGTTCAAGGGCAGCTTTGCCTTCCCCATGCATACCATATGCATTAATCATCACACTCCAAGATACAGCATCCTTTTCAAGCAAGCTCTCAAACATCTTTCTAGCAGCTGAAATATTTCCACATCTTGCATTTACGTCTATAAGCGCATTGCTGATAGCCATATCTTTGTCAAATCCTTTGCGTACAACATAGGCCATTACAGAATCAGCAAGTTTTAGGCTATTTAATTGAGCATATGCCGAAATTAAACTTAAAACTGTTACATTGTCAGGTTGCAAGCCCATTCGAAGGAGATCACAGAATAGTGCAACTGCTTTTTCGGCATTCTTTGTTTGGATATGCACAGAAAGAATAGCATTCCACAAAGATATATCTGTCTTTTTGCTCATTTCAAATAGAAAATGACACGTATTCACCTTTGCAAATCTAGCATACATGAACACCAGAGATGTAAGAAGAGGAGTTTCTTGTGAAATTCCTGCTCTTATTGCAAAAGCGTGAATAGACTTACCCTGCAGTTGTCCACAGCATAGAGGCAATAGATTTAGCAAAGTTACCGAATTTGGCCTCCAACCCTCATTTATCATTCGTTTAAAGCTAGTCAAAACCTCATTCTGGAGGTTGTTAACTCGATACCCTCCAATAAGGGCATTCCAAGACACTACAGACCTTCTGGGCATAACTTCAAATAGTAATCTCCCTGTATCTAGATCTCCACATTTACAATACATGGTAATAAGTGCATTGGCCAAGGAAATGTCAGAGGAAAACCCATTTTTTATAGCATAACCATGAAGAGTCATCCCTTGACCCAAATTTTCACTGTCACGGTACATGGGGAGAATGCTTATCAGGGTCACCAAATCCAATGCCAATCCTTCTTTCTGCAGCAGATGAAGAAGTTCAACTGCCTTGTCCACTTCTACACTGTGCACACATCTAGATATCAAAGTGTTCCACGACACAGAATCTCGGTTGTCCATTTTGAAAAACAGATTAAAGGAAGAGGCAAGATCATTACAATCAGAGTAAAATGTGAGGAGTGCATTTGACACAATAAGGCTTGAGTTGATTCCCATTCTGATGCTAAATGCGTGAGCAGACTTGCCTAGCAAAATGGCCTCAAGTTTGGAGCAGGCAGAAAGGACACTAGTTATTGACACTACATCTGGAATGAATCCACATAATTGCATTTCGCAAAATGCTGCCAAACTTGCATCCCACAGCCCATTATGCACATATCCAGAGACCATCACATTCCATGATAAGAGGTTTCTATTAGGCATCCTTTCAAAAAGGAATTCAGCTTTACTGATATCACCAAGCTTGGCATACATGGACACCAAGGCTGCTAATACAGAAATATGATTTTCTGATCCATGTTTTATAACACAAGCATGAAAGGATTCACCAAATGAGATACTACCAACAAACTCACATGAAGAAATAATAGACACAAAAGTGACTGAATCAGACTGCACACCAGCATAGTGCATTTCTTGAAATATATTAAATGCTTCAAAAGGCAACTGCTTTTGCATGTAAGCTGCAATCATAGAATTCCAAACAGCAACATCCTTCTCCTGCAAAAGATCAAACAATGTTTTTGCAGCAGACAAATGCACATCACTAGCATACATTGATATTAAAGCAGGCACCAAAAAATCATTCACAAGATATCCGGACTTGATAGCAAAGCCATGGAAACATCTTCCAATATCCAAACATCCTAAACGGGTGCATATTGGAATTACACTAGCCAGAGTACTCAAATTAGGCTTCAAACCCGATAAAACCATATGCTTGAAAACCGCAAGAGCTTCATGATCACACCCATTAAAAGAATAACCTGAAACCAAAGCATTCCAAGAAACCAAGTCTGGTTGGGGAATTCTATCAATCAGAACACGCGCAGTTCCCATATAACCATTTTTCGCATAAAAATCAACCAGAGCAGTTTGGATGACAACATTTTGATCATACCCAGTTCGCAAAACAATACAATGAAGTATTTTTCCAATCTTTAAAGCATTAAGAGCCGAACAAGCCTTGATCACAGAAGGAAACGTAAAATCATCAGACGGATAACTCAAACTCCGACACTTGAAATAAACGGACAAGACAGTTTCGTGCAACCCGTAATTGCAAAGACCCCTAATCACCAAATTTTGTAGAAACACGTTTGGTTTTCTTATTGTATTGAAGGAAGAGAGAGCTATATCTAAGGCACCCACATGAAAACAAGCCTTTAAAAGTTCTTTAAGCAAACCCTTCTGCTCAATTAGACCATGGACTACAAGAAGAGACGTGAGAGACTTGAGGTGATTGACGTTTTTACAAAAGGGAAAGAAATTTGAGAAGTTAATGGTTTTGGATTTGAAAGAATGATACATTGAAGGTTTGTGTTTGAAAGATCGGATAGTGGTGTAGAAACGACAAATAACTGTCGAGAGATTTAGGAAAGAGTTTCGAGAGAGGAATATCCATGAAAGGTTCAAAGTTATTACATGGTTAGCAATTGCTAGCTTATATGAGAAGCTCTGCCTTTCCCGCCATTACTGCAGATGTTCTTATATGAGTTTGCTGGAGAGGCTTTTTTTGGAATGAATTACAGAAACTTAGCGCGTGACATTAGAGTAAAATCCAACAGACACTCAGAGTGAGTTAAAACCGTTGCAAATTGGCAAGGCGCGGTGGTCCACATTTACTCTTTTGCCCTTATTTTTTAATCTTTTAATGTTTATTAATTATTATGATATATAAGAAATAGAGAGTATATATAAAAATAGCAGATAGAATAAGAGAGAGGAAAGAGAAATAAATTTCTAGTATTAGAATATTAGTTTCACAATTTAAATAATGAAGCAACTATTTAAATGATACAAAATATTATCCAAAAGACATAACTTTACACCTTAAACAATATAATCATTCGTTCTAAATGATGCAATCTTACAAATTAAATGATATAAACATTCATCTTAAATAATATAACCTTTTATTCTAAAAGATATAACTTTCGGAAAAATAAATAATTTTCTTAATAAACTTAATGGACATCAATTATATTATATAATTTTATAACATTAATTATTATTCACTTTTTATGCATATTTTTTGTTATGTGATATACAGTAAATTGAGTTGAATGAAATAGATGAAGGAAGTAGATATTGTCGCCCATGATTCGGAATGGCATGGAAACGATTTTTTCAATTGGAATAAGGATCAATTTTTTCTCTGAAAATTTAATTGTATTAAATTTATTTTTTTATCATTTGTCCCTCACGTGTGCGGTAGTTAAAAAATAAATCAAATTAATTTTCTGACTGAAATTTTTTTATTAAAATCAACTTAAAAGATTGAGTAAATTACATTGCCAATAAATTTAAAAGCAAATTGTACATTATTCTGTATGAGTGTGTGTGTTTGACTCTTTTGTAAAATACAAAAATATTTAAAAAAAAAAAAAAATTGTGACCCTCAAATATCTCTATTAAGAAAAACAACTAGAAGAGCATAACATTAGATTTTTTTTTTTTTTTTTTTTTTTTTTAACAACTAGAAGAGCCAAACATTAGATTTTTTTTTTTTTTTTTTTTTTTTTAGCTGCAATTTATTCAAAGCTTGTGCTAACTAAAGCTGTCTTTGATTAAGTCCATGAAATTCCAATATTATCTTTCAGAGTGAACTTGTGAAACTTGTATCCATAGAAGACATAATTAACACAGTATAATGAGATGAAACTTGTCCTATTTAAAATGGGTAACCTTCTATACCAAAACACAGTCAACAAACTATAAGACGCGAGAAGTGCATACGAAACAACCTCAACATACGTCTTTTTTTTTTTTTTTTTTTTTTTTGCTGCATTTATTCAAGCTGTGGCTAACTAAAGCTGTCTTTGGTAAGTCCATGAAATTCAATATTATCTTCAGATGTGAACTTGTGAACTAATGAACATAATAAACAGAAAATGAAACGCTATTTAAATTACTCAAAACAGTCAACATATAGAGAAGCTACAACATCAACATACGTCCAATATAGAAAAACTACACGCAAATCTTTTTTCCTTTTTTCTTTTGAATATTTTTATTTCTACAAATATACTATAGCTACTGCATGCCCTCAACCAAAGATCCCATTAAAATAGTGCAGAAGCTCATTCTAGTATCCATATGTTGTCCTCTTCATCATCCTCATAAAATCGTCAAAGCCCACTTCTCCATCACCTGTACATTTCATAAACCATTACATTTCTCACTAGAAGATTTGACGAGTATCTCAAACTTACATAATTAGTACTGAAAAGAATTGCTTGCGAAAATGATAACCTCAGACTTATAAAATTAAACTTCTCACGAACACATTGCAACGACCTAATGACACACACACGGAAGCGAGCCCCAAAGACCACATTAACATATACATCTGTGCATATAAAGAGTACAGTAAACCAATAGATACCAAACAACAAACTAGAACTCCTATGAAAAACTGAATAGGAATTCTTATATGTTGCACCTAAGGACAAGGGTGCATTGCGAATCCAGTAAGAACAAGTAACCACAAACACACAAAGTGCTAAGACAAATTTATAATTCAAAACATTTTTCTTAAAATAAAACAAAGCATTCCTATATGCATTTGTCTAAAGAGGTCAGTTCCTACTTAGGTTCTGAACACAAAAGTCCTGGGATTCTATCTGTGGAGCACAAGAATTTAACAGTGGAACACTAAAAAGGCCCAGCAGCCCTGCAAATTAAAATGCTGCTGATACAGCAGCTTGGAAATCAAGATTACTATGACTTTACCCTAGATAAAACTACAACAGATAATCTGGTAATTAGAGTCATATACGGCTTAGGTCCACAAACAGGACAGTTTTGAAACCAAATCAACATTGCATTGACAAATCACAGGGGGTGGTCAACTTAAGGCCCTCCTCCCCACTCCAAACTCCCCGCAGAATAGGTGAAAATATCATTAGCAATGCATTTGAAATAGTCTGATCAGACTAATATTCAAAAGTATCTCCAACAATTTCATGACAATTGATTATAACACAACTGATCAGATAATGAATTTTTCTCAGTGTTATTACATTTGCTTTATGACTTTGACTGTAACTTTTAAGCAAAAAATATCATAAAGCTACTGAGAAAAAAGGTGCTTCCATGGTTATAAAAGAAGGCCATTTATTCCATCATTTGAACAACCAAATTCAAAATTTGACTTCCAAACGAAAATATAAGTGATTAACAGCTCGATCAATGTCAGAGATACTGTGAAGAACAAATAAGAAAAAGGAAATACTTTCATCCTCCTTATTTCTTCTATGCTACTAAGTTCTTATGTTGTGAAAAAATTGAGAGAGAAAATCTTCCAAACACAGCATCCCTTCTTGGGAACTACAAAAGTAACTAAAGAAAACAGAAGGCACACAATTTATAGGGTATTATTGTTTTATAAGAATGACCAAATTGAGCAAAGATGATAATAGACGCATGCAATTAGAGAAAAGAAATTATATCAATCACAGAAAATGAGAAATTAGTGCAATTCAGGAGATAATGAATCGAAAATACAATTTTAACCTAAACACCATCAATGGGGACAGATCTAGCATGGGGCGATGGGGGCACTTGCCCCCAGTGCCTCCATATAATTCTCATGACATGTATATTAATATATTTTTTTTTTAACTTAATATTATGTACATTTGCCTCAACTTAAATATTTTAATTTCCCCCCATAATTGTTTTTCACTACACTAATTTTAGTTTAATATTGCATTTATTGTGTACAAAGACTAATTAGTGAAATTTGAATTGAACAAAACTTTTTGCTTAACCTTTTAATCTAATAAATTCCAACATATAACATGTTATTATTTTTCGTTTTGACTTGTGTGGCCGATTTATTTATCTTTTAAATAAAACTATCCATTTAAGATAACCCGCTCATATACATTCTAAATTTAACTTTAATTTATTTCTAGGAACAAATTATACATGTGTTTGTGTGGATGTTGCCCCAACCATTATGAATTTCTAGATCTCTCCATGAATAGTTCCTACAAACTCGATCCAAAACATAAACAGAAAAACATACCATCTCGGTCAGCTTCCCCAACCATCTCTTGTATCTCTCTGTCAGTGAAGTTCTCGCCCAGCTCCTTTGCTATTCTCTTTATGTCATCAACAGATATGCTTCCCTAAATCAAGCAAATGAAAAAATAAGTTACTGAGAATAAGAAACTAAACTTAAGGACAAATGAAAAAAAAAAAAATCACTCACATTGTTATCCTGGTCAATGATGTGGAATGCTTTTGTGAGCTCCTCCTTAGTGTCTCTTTCTCCAATCTTGGCCGTCATCATATGCTCAAATTCATCATAGTCAATTGCACCACTGCCATCCTTGTCTACATCTGCAATCATTTGATTAATTTGCTGCAATGTCACATTTAAGGATATGTAAGCTTTGCAGTTAAGTTCCGTGAAACAGAATTTGGAATGAAAGGATACTATCATGCTTACAAATTGTAAAGAATGTAAATCGGCTGGGAATTTTATTTTTTCTTATTGTTCTAAAATGAACAGTGAATGAGAAAAGAATATCAGAGTGGGATGTACTCCAGTCTCACACCACGGGCACAAAAAATAGGAAAAAAGAAACAGTAGAATATTATTTGTGACCAGTGGGAAATACAGAAATGACAAATATGTTCATATACTAAGGCATAGAAAGTACCTCTTCTGTCATTTCGAAACCGAGTGCCCTGTTATAACATTAGTTTAGTTCCAGTATTTTCATGGCTCAAAATTTTGAACAATTTTAGCAGATCTGAAGAGATATTCATACCTCATGGCAACATTCAGCTCTTTAGCATCGATAGTTCCTGGACAACACAGTCTAACAAATGAATAACAGAATTAAGTACATAACAAGGACAAATAGCAAAAAATATTTTCAGTACCTGAGCCATCAGTATCGAATAACTCGAATGCTTCCTTAATTTCTTGTTTCTTCTGCTGACTTAAACCATGATGACGTCCTCTAGGTTTATCTTTCCTCGATACTCCTCTGTAAAGAGGTGCCTGTTGAGGTATAATGCATGAAAAAGCAATCATCAAAAAAGCAATTCAATGAATTAAAGAAATCATCCAACTTGTATTAACATTTCCAACAAGAAAATATTATCTTAATCCGGTGCTCAATTCTTTACTACAGAATATAAGCAAGAACATAACTGTAAAGTACGCAAATAACCACAGGCTTCCAAGAAACGATAATTCAACCATTTTTTCTAATATTTATGAAGAAGGGATGTCCATGAAACAAAACACTAAATAAATGAAGACATCCAAAATTCGATTTGTTCAACAAAATGGTTTTGACCCACATCTTGACAAAAATAAACAATAGTGTGCCACTAATTAGTTGGAACCCAATTTACCCTCTGGCATTGCTAAAAGAGACAACACGATTAATCTGCATTCTTGAAAACACATCTCCATGACAGCCAAATCTAAGCTATTGAGCCCGTGCGAAGCATTCAAGCGCGTACGTATACAGAAAGATAATTTCTAACAAGAATCAACCTAGATATATTTCCAATTCCCAAATCAAATTAACAAAATTTCTTGATGATCTACAAAATTCAAAGAGCTTTGAGTTGATTGTTGAAAAAGCACAGAAATCAAATAGGAACAAGAAAAAGAAAGAAAACAACTAAAATTAGGGTTTCATGTAAACAACAAACCATTGGATTCCAAAGGATGAGATGAAATGAGATTGCTAACGCGTCTTGTAGAAATCTTCAACAGAGAAGCTGAAACTTCTTTCTAGAGACTATACTGATCGTCTTTTACGGTTCGCTTGCAGAGACTATATTGGGCTTGACTATTCTTCAGACATATTACAAGGGTTCTCAAATTTCAACACACCGAGCACCATTAAATTGGGCCAAAGGCCCGTTTGGCTTAGTTCAATTTTTGTTGTCATTAATATATTTTCAATACTACAATTTTATTATTTAATTTCCCATTCGAATAAATGGTTACTATTAAATTTTAATTTCCTTCTTCACTTTAATTTGTGATATATTATTTGTGTAAAACATAATTAATAATCTTTTTATTCACCAATTGCTGAAACTCGAGATCTCTCATTTTTCACGTTAATAAAAAAATTAACCTACAATTATTTTGTTTAAATATTTTTTAAATTATCGATTTATACTAGTTGTTGACATACTTTAGCAATAAGTGAGTATACAGTCTGTATAAATCCGGGTTCAAATCTCTCTCTTTATAAGAAAATTATGAAAAAAAAAAAAGAAAGAATTTATTATTATTGATCTAATTAAAAGTGAACCATTCACGTTGAAAATAAAGTACCATACCATAGTAAATGGTAATGGGACATTGATTTGTCTTGGAATGAGTTGTTTTATATGGCAGAGAAGAATGAGTTGTTTTGGAATTTGCACTTTACATCATTTTCGGTGATTAATCTTATTACCCAGAAGAAGAAAATGCAACAACCAATAAGTGAAATCAAGAACAGATAGTGTTCTTTCTTTTGCGAAGAGAAATAATATCACTGTTTGGTATAACAAAATTGATTAAACACGTGAACCCAGTAGACAAAATTTCTTTTATACATAAAAGGGAAATTAAAAAGAGGAAGGAAAAACAAAAGGGTCAGAAAAGGACTTGAGCAATAACGAATGCAATGGCAGATCGATGTTTAGGAAGACAAGATGCTGCTATCGCTTCCTTCAACATAGTGTGTGTGTGTGTATATATATATATATATATATTAGAATTTCAATTTAAAATGTATATTATATACTTAGCCCATGCAGTTTATCTGTCATATCTCCAATTTTTCACAATGGTTTTAGAGCTAGCTAGGATGAGTATGGTGCTCTTAAAAAGAGACATAGGGACCAGGTAGTGACTCTCGGAGAGAGACTGGTGCAGCAAGTTGACTCCTAACTAGATAGTGACTTTCGAAGAGAGGTATACATAGGGATAAGAGGTGAAGCAATATTAACCCTTGACCAGGTAGTAACTCTGGGAGAGAGACCGGTGGAGCCAGTGAGCAAATGAAAAGATCAGAGAGTGACTCTCGGAGACCAAAGAGACCGGTGAAGCAAATGAGGATGCTGATTGGGCAATTAATAAACTAATTAAATTTCAGCCACAGAAAGTGGCCATTCCTCAAAAGCTATGAACAAATTAGTGCTGATTAATTTTGAAAATGAAATATCATCATTTGGTAATGTACCCACCATTAAGAACAAGACATGAAAGCTACAAGTTTATGAAAGATCAAAGATGATTAGAGAAAAAAGCTACATTACATATTCAAAGATGAAACCAAACTCCCCAAAGCAGAAGAACCTGTCCCTACCACTAATTTTTAGCAAAATGAAATGCTTCTTTATGAAAAATTGACATCTGATGATGTTTGTATTATTATTATTATTGTGTATTATATAAAATGATGGCCAGCTGTGTTGATAGATTCTTTCCAAAACTTAGCTTGAAGGCCCTCCTCAGGTACTGGAAATGGATCGTATTGAACCCCACTCTTATACCTTACTACTTCCCACCTGCAAAAATATTTAGACATTTAGATTCTTTTTTATTAATTTTTTAGTATTTTTGGTGTTAGAATATCTTTAATATATCTCTAATACCTGAACTTGGTGACCAAATGATGGATTAGAATAAGCATCTCAAGCTTAGCAACTTCATTTCCTGGACATGCATGAACGCCATTTCCAAAGGGCATGAACGTATTGGGTTTTGGTCCAACCTTCATGCAATAACATTAAAAAATAGTTAATACTAAAAAAAAAAAAAAAAAAAAAATGGGATTAGAATAACATTCGTCAAGCTTAGCAACTTCATTTCCTGGACATTGGCATGAACGCCATTTCCCAAAAAGGGCATGTTGAAAAAAACCGTATTGGCGTGGTCCAACCTGTCATGCAACTAAACATTAAAATAGTTAATACTAAAAAAAAAAAAACAAAAAAAAAGATAGAGCATTCAAAAACCGGGCTACTGCATTTTAATAAAAAGAAAGAAAAAAAAAAAAAAAAAAAAAAAAAAAAAAAAAAAAAAAACAAAAAAAAAAAAAAAAAAAAAAAAAAAAAAAAAAAAAAAAAAAAAAACATATTTGCATATACCTCAAACCTAGAAGGGTTAAATACATGTGGATCAGTGAAGAAATCTGGATTATGATGAATATTCCGAAATAAAGGAAGTACTTTCCATCCTTTTGGAATTAAGTACCCTATCAAAGCATAAACTAATTAATTTTGTATAAATTAAGGAGGTATGTATATATATACAAGGGTGCACGTACAATATAAATATTTATACGTACCTTTATATTCAACATCTTCAACCGCTTCTCGAAAGGTGAACGATATAACACTTGCCATCCTCAAGCTTTCCATTATAACCTATCATTTTATCGCCAAATTAATACCGAATATACATATATATAATTAGTAAGAATTATTGTAATTCCGATAGTGATTATACCTTATTCGTAAAGGGCATATTTCTAGTTTGAGACCATGTTAATGGATTTTTTCCTCTCCCATTTGATTCATAAATCGCATTCTGCTCCATCTGAAATAAATCAAATTAAATCTTCTTTAATTAATATTAACTTTCATGGTAAGAAATGGATTGATTATTGCAAGAAAAATAATTAATAAGGATTTTAAATAAAATTCAAACCTTAATAGCTTCAAGAATTTTTGAGTCGTCATGGACATACTTAAGAATCCATGTTAAAACGCTAGCTGTAGTGTCTTGAGCAGCGAATAGTACACCGATGATATTATCAGTAATTTGATTATCAGATAACATTTGACCTTTCTCATCTTTGAAGTTCAGTAGATAACCCAAAAGATCGTTTTGTATTAATCCTTTCTCTTTCCTCTCCCGTATTATCCAACCAAGAATCCGGCTTAGCCTTTTTCTTGCCTGAGAATCAAGAAAAAAAAAATTAGATTGTAAATCGATAGAGACGTTAGTTATTTAATTTTGAAACTTACCATGACTGATTTACTGTATGAAGTGCCAGGTAGAGTTGTTGGAAAAGAATTATAACCTTTATCAAGTATGTAGTAATTTATCTTCAAATTTTCTCTATAGTAAGAGTCCAAGTTACCGAAGATGGATAAAACAGCAGCATCAAAAGTGAACTGCACTTGAAAGAATGGAAATGGGACAATATTATAGTAAGAAACAATAACTTAAACATAACTTTGGAATTTTCTTTCAATAAAGGATTTATGTAATGGCCAGGTTGGTGGTTGTTGACTAAGGTTATCTTGTCGATTAGTAATAAAAATATAAAATTAAGAAAAATGTAACTTTTTAATATATTTCATAACATCATTGGATTGTTATAAGTTTGTTGAGACGTGTTGAAATTGTCATTTTTTACGTGCAAAAATCATGCTTATTTAAAATTATTACTATGGTAAAATTGTTTAATTTGTCTGGAATCACTCAAAAAATAAAAAATAAAATTGTACTAAATCCCAAAAATTATTATTAGTGTTTAGATATATGTATACTAATATGTTCAAAACCTTTTGTCATCTTTTGCATAAAAAAATAATTAATCGCCCTAATAAAAGAACAACGAGATGAACTGACCTTCTTCATCTCATGGAAAGTGTTAACGACTTTGGCAGTAGAAGACAAAGATTCCAAAGTAGAGATAGCAATAGCTTCAATATGAGGGACCAGGTTTCTGATCACATCGAGTGACAAAGAAACTTGTACAAGTTTTCTCAGTTGAGAATGGTAAATCCCTTGGTTGAAAAATATTGCTGATGGCCCGATTAATTTTTCCTTGCTTGGCGGGTATGTTGGCTTGAACAAGCTTGCTCGTGTCACCAACACAAACCTAATAGCCTCTGGGCTAGCAACCATAACACAAGGACATCCAAGAATGCGAGTCTTGAATATCTCTCCATACCTTAAACAAAACAAAACAACTAAATGATTGCCAGTTTGAACTACAATTAGAGTTTAATTAATAAAAACAATAAATGATTAGAACAGAATCAAATAATGGAATATATAACTACCTTTGTTGCTTATTAGCAAAGAAGATGTCAGGGTTCTGAGAGTAGAGTTGAAGAGTTTCTCCAATATAAGGCAAACCCATTGAACCTGGTGGCAAGTTTCCTCTTTTGATCTTGTCCTGTTGTCTTCTTTTTAATCTAAGTATAGTTAACAAGAATAGGGCACAGCAAAAACTACATACAAGAACCATACCCATCTTTCTCTCTTTCTTTCTCTATATAAATCAACAAGAAATGAGAAGTTCTGTGCTCATATATACAGATATGTCCACGCGTGTATGTCGAGAGTCGATCGACTATAGCTACACATCTCCATACCATTCTTCACTAATACTCACGAGAGATATAGAACCAGCTTATAGAAAGATATAAGACCTATGCATATCACATAAACACACTTTCACTGCTTAATATATAAATTGATAATCGACCCATCGATTAGAAAACAGAATCAAAATAATGAATATATAACTACCTTTGTTGGCTTATTAGCAAAGAAGATGTCAGGGTTCTGAGAGTAGAGTTGAGAGTTTTCTCGAAAATTATAAGGCCAAATCCAATTTGAGACTGTGGCAGTCTCTTTTGATTGTCTGTGTCTTCTTTTATCTCAAGCTATATGTTTAACAGAACCCAGGGCAAAAAACTACTACCAAGAACGATACCCATCTTTTCTTCTTTTTTTCTCTATATTAAAATTTCACACAGAAAATCGAGAAGTTTCTGTGCCTTCAACGAGTATTATATACAGAGAGACACATGAATATAATAATATAATAAGAAATCTTTGGCATCATAATTGGCCGCTAGTCTTTCAATCAGGTATGTGCATTAAAGATAGCTGTGGAATCTTGGTATGTGACACTTATATATATAGAAAACTCTAATAAGCCTTACTGAGTAGGTGATGTTTTATAAACTAGGCTGTACCTGAGAATATGGTGGCCACCTACATGAGAGAGCTAGGGTTAATATTGTTCATTATCAGCTTAATGGCTTTAATGTAACTGGACCTAACAAATTTTGCAGGTTGCGTCAGAAAACAGCTCTGCTTTTATTAGAGGAAACTTGTGGAGCACCAGGTGTCCTTAAAGAGGAGCTATAGGACCTTATGAGACAACAGCCAATAAGACATTTGGTGTTAAGCGTTATTTTGTGCCAGGTTTTTCAGGTCTAGAGTGCCACCTCTCCTCTCTGTTTTACGGGAGGAATTAATTTATGGTGTCTGTTCTTAATAAATAATCATTTAACCGAAATAACACGTACACGGTAGCACTATAATTTATTTAAGAGCTGTACTGTATGCATAATATAATCAAATTAAAGGGAAAAATTTCACAAGTAAATAATTTTTTTAGCCAAAAAAGTTATGACGTTGTTGTTGTTGTTATTATTATTATTATTATTATTATTATTATTATTATTATTATTATTATTTGATTTCTGAATAAATATGCTATATGCTTTTGGCATGAGACTAATATCTACAAGTATTTTCGGGGATCAACCCTCTGATCTTACCTTTAGTAAAGAATATAAAATGCTAAAAAGAGTTTAGTTTTTTTTTTTTTTTTTTACATTGAAATATTGTTCATATATTATTAAGAGAAGAAACGAGTAATACAAGCGAAAATAATATTTCAAGTTCGAAAACAAGCCCTACTAGAAACTGATTTAGCCAAAACATGAGTTATATCATTTATTTATCTTTTAATCCAAGCTAACGTGACATTAGACATTTGGACTAAGAGTAATTTACATTCACATTGGACATTAGTTGTTAAGTGTATTCTTAAATATTTGATTCCTTGGATGTTTATAGAAAATCAGTTTTAAAAAGAAATTCCCGACATTGGAACGTATGAATGATCTGGACCAGCAACGTTCCTGCCAAGTTTTGAGACGTGGGATCCACAAGTCTCAGCCAAATAGTACTTGGATGTCGAACATTCGAGAAGGTGACCCATCTTCCCACGTGGACAGTGCTCGCGCTATGGGATGTTTGTCAGGTTAATGTCACCGTCAGATCTAGCTGTTCTTGGCTGCGTGTCGAGATCAAGGTGGTTGGTTCTCTATCCCAGGTGAGCACAGCAGGACCCTCTATCCTCGTGGAATCGGTCACTTTGCATGCCCATTGCATATTTATAATAAAATAAAACAATTATAATATAATATGTTGAATATAAGCCAAGGGTTATGGAATAGCCAACCTCCGATTAGACAGGAGAGCTCTTTAACTCGATTTTTTTTAATATATAATCTATTATATAATTTGGGCGGATTGAACTTTTCCATGAATGAAAAAAGAAAAAAAAAAAAAAGCCACATGCAATATAAAAATTTGTTTGCCTTGTTTGAAAACTTAAAAATCGATTGGCTAATTATATAATTTAAATAAGTAAATTCAAATTTGATTTGTAGTTCCTTTTGAAAAATAATGATTTGTTATTAAATGAATTTGAATAAGTTTTTCTGAAATTAAGCTTTGAGCAATTTATAAACGGACAATTTCATTTAAAACTCTAGTAACAAGATATAAATTTCTCAGAAAATATATAAATATAATTTTTTTAATCATCAAATTTTTTATAAATTTAGTTAGGTCTAATTTTTATAGTAATTCGATTTTGATTGGTTAATTTATAGTTTTAGTTTTTTTGTTAATGGTTTGATTAATTAAATAATAAATTTAGATCACAATAAAAAAAATATTAGTCAAGAATTTTTCTATCGAATATGCTACGTACGGAATAATAAAAAAACATTTTCATTTCTCATGAATTATCAACAGAATGCAAAATCAAAATCTTTTGCCGTTGATCTTACGTTCTTATGCAAATCAAAACGTCTCAATTGAGATGTCTGAAGCTTCTAAGCAAAAACTGCATTTATCATAAGAATCACAAGTAAAAAAAAATAGTCATCATGTACTAATTTTGTTATACAAGAAATACCAAAAATAATATAATGAAGTAATTGGTGAAAGTGACTCCTTGAATGTCATTACGAAGCTTTGGAAAATAGAGAAAATGTGATTTTGCCTAAAAGAGTATGTCTTTAATTAGTTTTTTTTTTTTGAAGCAGTAACTCAGAATATGCACATTCCTCTTGCTTGTGGTCTTCAATTTCTGTATTTGGAGAAGGTTTAACAACCAGCTCATGCATCGTGTAATGACTCCCACATCAAATTTGGAAATTAACCCTAACTATTTTTGTATAAGTGTAGATATCCACCTTACGTACTTAACTTGCTAATCTTTTGGGAAGAGTATATATGATCTAATAAAAGGTAATATTAGATTAGAACTGACCTAATAATGATATTATTAAATCACATAAAATAATATTTTAGTTTATATTTTCAGTTACAAATCCCGCCGAGTACTTATACATTTTAATTTTGGATCATATTTACCGATAAAAGTTCGGAAATTTTGAGTAAGTTTTGAATAAATGTATTCAAATATGTTTAAAATATTAGTGTTATATATGTGTCTAAAATTTTAAAATTTATTTTGGAATACTCGTATTTGAACTTATTTAAAATATTTATATATGTTTAATATTCATTGCTCAAGTTATACCCTCCTATTGTATGAGTGTATTTGAGCTTCCCCTTGGTTTGTGTGACGACTTGCAAAGAATTATGAATGGGTATTGATGGGGAAGAAGAAGGAAGGAGGGAGGGGCATTCATTAGTTATCTTGGGATAGGATGTGTGGCAGGAAGAGGGAGGGTGGAATGAGTTCTCGTAATTTTCGTGGTTTCAATATGGCTATGCGACGTAAGCAGGGGTGGAGATTGATTACCGACCCTAACACGCTTCTTTATAAGGTCTTCCAAGCTAAATATTTTCCTAATTGCGATTTCCTTAATGCTAATCTAGGTAATAATTCTAGTTTTGTCTGGACAGGTGTGTTGTCTTCTAGCATAGTTTTGAAACAAGGGGTGAGATGGAGAGTAGGAAATGGTGAGAGTATTTTTATCGCTAGAGATCCATGGCTTCCAAAGGAGGGTTCTTTTTATGTGGAGGATGGGGGAGATTTTGTTGATCAAAATATTAGAGTAAAGAGCTTATGGTGGTGGGGGAAAGGAAATGGGATATTGGCAAGCTTATGTCGTTTAGTGTTAGAGATATGCATGTAATTCTTAATATTCCTCTTAGCTTTAGAAATCATGGCGACAAAATTTTGTGCCATCATGAGAAAAGGGGTATGTATAGTGTCAAACCCGGGTACTTTGTAGCACTTCAAAGTCTTGGGGAGAATGCATACCCGAATGGATGATAATTTTTTGGAGTAGAATTTGGAAATTGGATGTACCTCTTAAGGTGAGGGAGTTTATGTGGCGGAGTTTGCGGAATATATTGCCTACTAGGATAAGATTGAGGAGCAAAGGGGTAGATATTTTGGCTAGGTGCCCTTTTTGTGAAGAAGGTGAGGACGTTAATCATGCTTTACTGCAGTGTGAGAGAGCCAAAGGGATTTCGAGACATGGAGGCTTTAGAGATTTTCCCACTAACGGTTATTTTGTAGACTATTTCATGCAGGTCCTGGAAAGCTCCAATACTTCACGCGTCAACTTATTTGCTATTCTTGCGTGGCAGATTTGGCAGTCAAGGAACAACTTCATTTGGAACAACAAAGCAGAATCGTGCTTTGCGAGTCATGCTAGAGCGGTCTTGTGTTTCCGTCAGTATGAGGCAGCTTGTGCATCCAGTCTTCATGGTCAAGTTTCGCAGAGTCCAGGTCAGGTCCATCGAAGCTATAGATAAGACGTTGTGCATGTCAATGACGCATGGCACTACCACGTTGATGGAACAGTTTTTAGTGAAGCCTAGTTAGCCGGTTATAGGGCAACCTTCGAGGACGAGGAGGGCATCTTTTTTCGTGCATTATCTGGCTTTTACGAGGGATGTCCCAGTCCAGCAACTGTGGAAGCCTGGCAATCCGTAAGTCTTTAATCTACATGACTGAGAATATGCTTGGTTTTGGGGTTGTTTATTTAGATTCTCAAGTGGTATTTTTCGCTTTACAGCCCAGTTTAGTTGATATCTCCGAGTTTGGTTTAATTATCTCTGATTGTAAACGATTGCTAGACTCTAAAATTGAGATTCACGCAATGTGAGTAAGGAGACAAGTTAACATAGATGCCCATTGCATGACTAGAGATCCTATTGTTATGCTCGTGTTCAAATAGGGGATAGTATACCTCGGTGTTTGTTGAAATATTTTTCCACAAAATAATGATATTCATTTCTCATTTCAAAAAAAAAAAAAAAAGTTATAGATCCCTATTGTTATGCTGCGTGTTTCAAAATAGGGGAATAGTATACCTCGGTGTTTGGTTGAAAAATATTTTTCCACAAAAAATAATGATATTCATTTCTCCATTCAAAAAAAAAAAAAAAAGTTATCTTTTGATACTTGTTACTTAAACGGGTTTCAGCAGATACCAAATACCCGACAGCCTTAAATCCAAACCCAAACCCATATCAAATTCAAATTTAATATACTCATCTCATGCTCATTTAATTTAATTAATAAGTAAATCCATTTTAAATGAGTTTTATGGGTTGAGTACCCATGAAAACTCGGCCTACTTTAGACATACAATAAGTATTTCAATTTTTTATAAAATAATAAATTTGTAATCCTAAATTTTAGTTGAATTTTTAAATATTTAAAATTTTATTATTACTTATTATTAATAAATATGCTTTCTTTTCAAAAAAAAAAAAAAAAAAAAAAAAAAAAAAAAAAAGATGGAGGGATTGAAAGAATTGGTGATGTAAAAAAAAAAAAAAAAAAAAAAAAGATGGAGGATTGAAGAATTGGTGATGTACAGGAATAATTCTGTATCATATTGGAGGATTGAACCTCATATATTATAAACATTACGTATAGCTCCTAACAGTCTATCTGCGATTTCTGGCCCAAACAATCTTGGGAAAGAAATTCCCAAATCATTCTCAATAGTTTTCTTCTTAACAATCTCATCCCTCTTTTTCAAATAACCTTTCTCCTCCGCGTTCACCTCTCTCCCTCCACAAGCACAACTATCCAACCAGATCCCAAAAACTTCCTTTGCAACAGGACCTATGTGATTTTTTATTATCTCCTCCATGCGATCTCCTCCATCTGCCTCAGTTTCTGCGCGAATCAATATTGCTGTGGGTGAAAAGAGGCTACGGATATAAAGCGATGAAGAGACATAAGGTTGAATCTCAGGGAGCTTCTGAAGCATTTGCCTGTGTGAGTCCAACTGAGATTTCTCGTAGAAAGTTTCGAGGTAGTCTGGATAAAAGACAGGGTCTTTTCGTGGAGGCAAATCAAGAATAAGGACTAGTGATGTCGGACTACTCCTGATGAGGTCCATTGTGATGTTTGGTGCATCAGTTGAAAGGTTCAAATAAGCTGAAATGTTTGTAATGTTCAATTCTGCACCAGTTGGTAGCTTGCAATGTAGCCAACTTCCTAGTATGAAATCAACCTGACAAATACCATATCAACAGAACAAAAGTTATTAACAAGAAGACTGAAAGATACTTTTTTATAATTTTAGTAAAGAGAAGCTGGAAAATATCAGAACTTTCTTATGAATTAAGTACTGAAAAACTGTGGATTTCTTCAGCAACTAACTAAAAATAGAATAAATCAGCCAAGTAAAAACTGGCTGCTGTATGTTAATTGTTTAGGAATGGGTTCAGCTAGCAATCTGCCTCAATCAATTCAATCTCAACCATATATGAAGACGAAGGAAGTAAAAGTATGAACCAAAACGCTCAATCTCAAAATACGTTGAGCAGAGACTTTCTGAATTTCTCACATAAAGAATAATATAAGACTCAATCCAGGTCATTGACTCAAGCTTGGATTATGAAAGCATCATCTCAGAGTAGAACCCTTTTCAACCCTTGCATCAACAGTTCCTAATACCACAAAACTCACTGAGAATCCACACCCAGAAGAGCTGAAACAAACAATTCTGAAGGAAAAAGACTCAGAGCCTAAAATGAAGATCCAAAATCACACGATATTGAACTAAGTATACCAGTACTGTAGAGACTTCCCAAGGCTTCCATGCTTTGTATGTGAAGTTATTACTATCAGTTTGTTACTTTTTCAAGAATCATTGAGCCCCATTACTCATAGGTTGTTTAAACTTGCATAATATGCTTGAGGCTTGTTAACAGCATAAATACAGCTTACCTTGTAATATTCTACACAGAGTAAAGAATTCTGACAAATCATCATTCAGTACTTAAACCAGATTGAAAGCTTAAAATAAAACTAACAATAGCACTTTTGCGTCTGATTTGTAGAAATCAGCATCAATAATTCGAATTCTTAAATCAAATTATAGTCTAAAGTTATGTTTGGAAAAATGGAATTCACTTAATTACAAATGAATTTCATATAATCAATTTTTAAATAAACTCGAAAGCGAAATATATTAAGTAGTAAATATAGAAATTCACTGGCTAATTCTACTGATACTAATCAAATCCATATTTTTATAGTCTTGCTAATACAGAGTGGGTTTAAAATCTTATCACTTTTGGTAGGAGACTACTAAAAAGAATTAAAAAAAAAAAAACAAAATTTAAAATGAATGTTTATGCATACCAAACATATGCATGAAGTAACCAAAAGATCGAAATTTCAAAGGCAGTGCAAGGAAATTACTTACAGGGGAATATTGGTTACCGGATCTGATATGAAGCGAGTTTCGGGCGGTTCCAGTTTCGTTCTGGCAGTATTGTACGTCGGGTGGAAGAGTACATGGTAGGAGTTGCGAGCCAAGCCGATTCTCTACTGTAGATACAAGATCAACCATCAAAGCCTTGTGCGAAGCCGAGACGAAAGGGTATTCCATGAGCTTTGCACGTCCCTGATTGTGCTGATCCATTGAGGAAGATGAAAAGGCAGAGATTTTGGTTGTGGATAATTTGAGTAGAGGTGAAGGAAGGGAAGAAAAACAAATTGGAAAGTGTGAAGTCTTGAAGAAGGTAAAGCTGACAGCCATTGCATTTGTAGCCACAGCCACAGCCACAAAACAAAATCTACACTCTCCTGATATTTATGGTTACTTATCGTCTCCATTTTTATTTTCTTCTAGTCCATGGACATGAAAGGGAAGGTTTCGAAGCTGACACTCGTTAGTTTTTAACTTTTTTACTTTCATTTTAGACAATGAATATTGGTAACAAGTTTTAGTCCATGGAGTCTCTGCTTGGCGCTTTCAAAGTGCTATGTTTAAAATCAAATTTTATAAAACTTTTTGAAATTAATTTTGATTTTGTCAATTGAAATTAAAATATTTTATAGGAAAAAATTAATATTAAACTCTTAAAAGTAATATCATTTCAAAATTATTCAATTACATAAATGTCATTTATAATTTGTATTTTAATCTCCTAAAATTATAATATTATTTATTATTTTTGAATAAATAAAACTAATTAGGAGCCAATTATATAGTCTGGTTATTTTTTTTTATTATTATTGTCTATAAATGGAAGGTCTCGAGTTTAAATTCTCTCGACTACAAAAATTTTTACTCAACATATTATTTCGGCATATTGTATCTCTAATGAATTAAAAAGATAAAATAAATTGAATGTAGTAGTATTAATTTAATTTAATTAATTTTTTTTGCATAGCCTACAATGATTTCCAAATTAGAAAATTTAATGATTTAAATTTGGTTTATTTTTCAATCAATTAGAATTAAATTATTAATTGTTCATACCTAATAATAGATGCCAAATCATTAAAAAAATCTCAAACTTTGCCGCTAATTTTAATTGTAGCGTAAATCTAACTTTTTTCTCCTATTATTTTGAATTTAAATTTTAGTTACAATAGTATCCGAATATCAAATTTTATTCAATTTAATGAACAAAATATTATTTTTGTGGGACCCAATTTAATCTTTTTTCCAAATTAGACTCTTTTCCACCACTACTTATAAATAAATAAAATATTTATATTTATTTGTATAAATAATAAAATAAAAATAATTTATTCATTTTAAATAAAATATTTTTATTTATTAATTTATTTATATTGACAACAAGTAGTGATTTCCTAAAAAATAAAATGACATTGTGAAATCTATTTTTATAAGAGATCTAACATAAGTAGTAGAAACAAAAACTTAAACTAATATTCTACGCTTATAACTAACTGAAATTTATTAATTTATTTGGCTTTTTATGAATTTAAATTTCTAATCAATATTAGTTAGGTTATTATTAAACTGTGAATTTTATTCAATTAGTTAGGTTGTTGTTAAACTCTGAATTTTTAGTTAATTTGACTATAAGAGAGAGTATAAATCTAATGAAAATAATATTTTATTTATCAAATTGGATCCAATTTGAAATTAAAGAGTTATTGCAACTAAAATTAAAGTTCATAATACTAGAAGAAGAAGATTGAATTTAAGGTACAATTGAAATGAAACGCAAAATTTGGAGTATTTATAATGATTTAGCCAATAATAGAAGTGAAATACCTTTGGGAAACTCATCGACACAAAAAATGTTTCAAAAAAATTAAGTTATTTGTATAAAATTAATAATACTCACATATTGTTTAAAAATTAAGATATTTTTTATTATTATTTATCACTCTCATATAATGAAATAACCAGAATTTTTATTTTCAAAGATTTTTCGTTTAAATTTAATAAACTGACAGCGTGGAAAATGTATTTAAATATTTAAACGTGAATTAATAATAACCAGAATTTTTTATTTTCAAAAGATTTTTCGTTTAAATTTATAACTGACAGCGTGGAAAATGTATTTAAATAATTTAAACGTGAATTAAATAATTTGTACAGTGATAAACCCGAATCGAAAAACCAATTGAAAATGAAAAAATCAAACAAAACCAAGATTTTGGGCCGATCCGAAATCAAATCGAATCAGCCCAAACCACTTCTAGAAGCCTCTCCCCTCTATATCCAGCGCAAACTTCACCCTCCCCTCACCATTTCTGCAACACCTCTAGCAGCGCCACCACTGCCACCTCCTCTTCTTCTCTTCTTCTCTTCCTCCTTCTCTCTCTTCTTTTCTTTCTTTCCTTCTCCTTTCTCTTCACCTGCGTCTGCGTTTCTGGCGAGAAACAGAGCAGCAGCAGAGGCACCGGGTCAATCGCGCCACCTCGCTGCCGCTCGCCGTCGCAGTAGCTCCGCCATCACCGTTCCTCAGTTCCCGTTCAGGCTAGCACAGTTGACAGGAGCAGCACCACAGTCGATCTATCGCGCCACTGCCCTGCCGTCGCTCCAGCGCGCCTCCGACCACCAGGAACGGGTCTGTCAAGCTTCATCGCGCCGCCTCATGCCTCATTCTCTCTCTGCCACTGCCAGTCAGATCTACAATTTGCGACAGAAATTAATAAACTTGGGGTAAAAATTAATTTAGTTCATTTAAATTTAGTTATTTTGCGTAGTTAATTAATATTATGTGGTGAAATTTATTTAAATAGTATTAATTTATTGATTAATAAATTTTATGTAGTGAAATTAATTTAAGTAGTATTAATTTGTTGATTAATAAAAATATTTAGTTAGTAATTTTAGTTATTTAGTTAGTTAAAATTAATTCAAAACAGTTATTGATTAATTAATATGAAGTAATTATTGATTAATAAAAACAATAGTTGGTTAAAATTAAATTCAGTATGAAATAAATTTATTAGGAAATTTTGATAATAAGAAAGTTTATGGAATTTAAATGTGGCTTTAAGGTAGATTATATGGTAGGTAATTTTAATTTATAAATTATGGATGTAAGGTAATGTGAATATTGTTATTCGGATGGAGGATGGAAAAATTGAATTGATTGATTGCCCGGTGGATGGGCCGTGTGGTTTGGTGTTATTAGATAAATTGTTGATATTTTAACAGGTTATTAGATAAAGTGTTGATATTTTAACAGGTGGATAGTCCAATTTTTAGGGACCAACTTTCGATAGAAAAATAAAATAAATTTCGGTAAGACAATTAAAAATAGGATTTTAAGTAAAGGAAATAAAATAAGAATTCAGAAGAAAATAAATGAAATAAAGTTAGATGAATATAAAAAAATTTATTAAGCAGAAAAGAAATTAAATATCGACGATTAAATTAACGTAGAAAAATTTAGAATATAAAAATTAAATAATATTAAGAAGGGTAAAGAAAATATTTTGTCTGATAGAGTTATTTCTTTTTTGTCAATTCTTACTTTGCTTAGATCGCCCGGGTCATCTAGTGCTGCCCCAGGACAAACATCAAAAGCTAGAATTTCGCTCTCCATCACTGTGAGTAATAAATAAATAATGCATATCAACACTGCATTTTGCATAACATTTATCATAAACATTATATTTTTATTTACATATTTACAATATATTACAAAGTATTTTATCATATATGATTATGTTACGATCAATGTATAATTAATACTCTATATATAATTGTGCATTTGGATGAAAATTGGTAGTAAATACGTTGGAAAGAATTGTTTGATTTACTTGTGCTGTGCAATATACTGTGGCCTTTTTGTGTGGAATTGGGAAGGGGGGGGGGGTGAGTGGGTCACCATGGGTTTGTGAGAATGTTTCTGTTATATCGGATCCTGATTCTGAATTTTCTGTTATATTCTGATTCTGTTATATGATCCTGATTCTGGTTTTTCTGTAGCCGGGTAAATGGAGATCGCGCCCCCGTGTGCACCTACCGTTAACGTTACTTGTTAACCAAGGTTGGGCTTTTTTATTGGCGCACCCGGATAATCTACGATTTGATCGCAGCCCGCAGGGTGGCCTCCTGTTGTGAGCGCCTTGATGATCTAGATTTGTGGACGACCGGGTTGCCCTCCTGTTGGTATGGAAAGGAAAGAGAGAATGGAAAAAAATGAAGAAAGGGCTGGTCAAGTGAGGATTAGACCGGTCGGCCAGTAAAATGGGGGATCGGTCCCCCTGGTGCACACGTGAGAGGATGAGCCATTGTGGGAGGACGGCTCATCGGGGTTCGGTGACTCCACTGAACTAATTTCCACGTGATGTGATTATTTGAAGGTGATATTGTTTGTGGGTGCTGATGTAATGTCATATGATTGACTGTTGTGTGTTCATTCAGTATATTATGGTGCATTTTGCTTGACTGTATGTGGTGTGTATTATTTATTATTATTCACTGAGTTGCAAAACTCACCCCTCCCCAACAAACCTTCCAGGTACTAGGAAGCAGCTGATTCGGCTGAAGCTCTGCAATCTTCTCTGCAGAGTTACAAATGTAAACTTTATATTCATGTTATTTAATTTTGGATGTATAAATTATTCTGTTATCAGATTATTTTTGGACTCCGCAGTTATAGCAGTTATAGGGTCGTGTATTTCCAATTGGTGTATTTCCAATTGGGCCTTGCCGTATGCGTTGTTTTATAAACGGTTGATTGTATTATTAGACACAGGAAAATCAGTATGCCCATATTATGAACGTGATTGATAATGACTAGGCCCAAACTAAATTTTATTGGAGATAATTAAAATTGGGCCGGATTGTATATTTGTATAATATTTATTTACATTTATAATCTTAACTTGTATGGGGCTTACTGTTTCTATTAAATGGTATGGGAATGTATAGTTGAAGTAATTAGCTAACTACGGGCCCGGGGCCTTATGCTTACTGGGCCTAAGTGCCGGATTTCGTCCGGCCCACGGAAAACGGGTCGTGACAAAGGTGGTATCCAGAGCAAAAAGTTTCATAAGTCTAGATGTAACTGCGGAGTAATTCTGTCATGTCTTGACATAGGTCTTCCCTTGCTTTCGTCTTCAAGCGTCGTTCGCTAATCAGGTTAGATCAATGTTGTTAAGTTGTTTAATGAGTAAAATTTGTATCCTTGTTCTTTAGAGATGTGATTTAGTTACTGATGCTAACGGGATGGTTTAAACAAAAATCCTTATATGGAATAAATAATATCCATATATAATTTAAGTATGTAAGAAGATAAGTTATATAGGTTTAATAAGTTGAAGTTAGATGATGAAAGTGTGCTATTTTTATTTAATACGTGTTGAATGTGGAATACATCTATAAGAATGCATGATTGTATGTATATGTGTGCCTATAGAAGGGGTATGTTGAGAATGAGTTGATAGTGTAAATTGATAAGAAAACTAGATGGTTCTAATTCAAGGACATTAGGATTTATTTAATTAGATAATTAGAATATTGATTTTAGCATATCTGTTTGATGAAGTTTACGTGATGTTGGTTGGTGGAATTTATTATAACTATGGAGATAAGCACTTTTCTGCATGAGATATATATATCTTGAGTAGTACATTTACATAAATGATACATACAAGGTTTCATAAATAAATGATTTGGTGCGACTTGGAATATTAATTGACGATGAGTATTTTCCATAAGTAATACTGTTGGTAGAATTATTTTATGAAGTGAGTTTTATTTATGAGTAATCACTTCTTAGTAGAGTAAAGTGTATTGTAGTATTCTTACTTGAGCAGAGGTTATAAGTGATTAAAATTCTTACGTGTAAAGGTGAATATTAGTTGTTGAATCTGTGCTTTAAGGTTATGAATATTTGACGACTTGTAGATATAGATACAACCAAGTTTAATTAATCTATGGTAATAAAAGTAGGTAACTTTGGGGCCTATGATTCATCTCATAATCTAATTCCTAACCTCCCTTATAAATTAGAATTTGCTTCCCCATTGTTTTGGTCTTTCGTGAAATTTAATAAAAATTAGTTCCTCTGGTCCCCTGACTAACAGAACTCTTAAAATATTTATTCTCTTCTGATTCCATCCTTCTCTAGCTTTGCTCGTCTAAGAACAAGTATTTACTAAAACTAAATAGCTCGATGTAATACTTTTATCAGATTGCAGTTATTTTGAAAACAATACATTTTTCCTCCCAAGCTATCTGTGAGAGTATAGCACATTAAATCTCAACAATTTAAACAACAATGATGTAATTCCATAGTAAATAATTCTGTTTTGTGAAACTAATTATAAAAAATCAGATTTTCTGGTTATTTCAGAAGTATATCCTTCCCCGAACTTCCTTTTATTAATTAGGGATGTCTGATTTAGTACAGTGAGTAGGAAGAAGACTGAAATAGACCCAGAATTTTTATTTTCAAAGATTTTCGCTTTAAATTTAAATTAAATGGTGGACAGGGCTTGTGTGGTCGTAAAATGTTCTATCCAACCGATAATTAATTTTATATTATTAGTAAGAACTTTGTTCTTTCTTGAGGCAGCTAGAAGGTGAATCAGAAAGATGAGATAAAATATTTTTGAGTTGTTAGTCAAGATTCAAAGAGGGAACGTGGAATTAAAATTAATTTGTAAACAGTGATAAATGTTATTATTACCGAAAGACAACCGCCAAATCGAAAACACATATTGAAAAAGTGAAAAATGCAAAAGCACAAACCAAAGAATTTGGGGCCGAATCGACCATCGAAAATCAATGTCGGAATATCAAGCCCATTATAACCGACTTCGGCTAGAGTAAGCTCCCTCCCTCTATATCCAGCGCATAACTTAACTTTGCCTCGGCCACCTCACCATAAATTCTGCAACATTCCCCAGCCCAGCGCCACACTAGTCCTTACACCCTTCCTTCTTCTTCTCCTTTGTCCTTACCTCTTCTCTATCTTCTATATTCGGTTTTCTTTTCCATTCTCCTTTCTCTTCCACTTTTCTGCGTTGTCGTTTACTGGCTGTCGGAGAACAGAGACAGGTTGTCAAGTCAGCGGACTAACTACGGTCGGCAATATTCATCCAGAGTATCCGACTAAATCCACAAGCTTCACCACCGTATATTCACCTTCACGCTACAGAATTAATCACTTATAACCTCTGCGTCAAGTAAGAGTTATTAATCTCATTCTAAGGCCTGTCCTATTCATGTGTCTACATTGATGTATCGTCATTTTATTCACTCACCAGCATATCACAGGCAAAGTCACACTCCATAAGAAACTCATACACAAAACCGCATGCCTGAGCTTTTAATTCTTACTGAATAGAATCCACATATGCATCAAATTTCACTGGCAAGATTAATACGTTGCAAGTAGCTCCGCAATGCAGCCAACCAAGTGGTTCCTTATCCTCCATAGTTATAATAATCCACCAAACCAAGCATATGTATTATTGCTCCCGTTATCTTCGTTAATCTGTCCGAATTAAACATCTGATCGCTTATAGATTACTTAATATATTCTAAAGTCTATACTGTCCTAAATACAGCAGCAGATACATGTCTTACACTACATGGCATTCCTTCATAGATGTACATTCCAGTATTCAACACGTATTAAAATAAATCCATAGCACAGCCCTTGCATCATCATATTCTTAATTAGTCATATAAACTATCTTCCTAATACGTTAAATTACACTATGGAACATATTCATTTACAATATAATTGGTTTAAACCATTCTAGCATCATATAAATCACATCTTAAGAAAGATCTTTTACTCATTAACAACTTGGGACTCTAAACTGTTGCGGGAACGCCTGGAGAAAGCAAGGAGATAGCAGAAAAGACAGATTACTCCGCAGTTACATCTAGACTTATAACTTGCTCTGATACACTTGTCCGACCGTTCCAAGTGGGCCGGGAACCGGACTAGGGCCCGGTAGCATAAGGCCCCGAGGCCCGTAGTTGCCAAACTCACTAACATTCCATACCATTTAATAGAAACAGTAGAGCCCACAAAGTTAAGATATAAATGTAATAAATATTATACACCGGCCCATTTTAAATTATCTCCAATAAAATTTTAGTTTGGGCCTAGTCATTATCAATCACGTTCCATAATATGGGCATAACTGATTCTCCTGTGTCTTAATAAATACAACCAACCGTTATTAAACAAACGCAATACGGCAAGGCCAATTGGAAAACACCGACCATATAACTGCGGAGTTCATAATATTCCTGAAATAGAATAATTATAACATCCCCAAAATTAAATGACAGAAATATAAGTTTACATTATAACGTGTCCACGGCGGCAGCAGAGGTGCGGAGTCTTCGCAGAGCTCAGTTTGAAATCCTGCTGCTTCCTAAGTACCCTGAGAGGTTTTGGGCGGCTCGAAATCACAGAAGCGACCGAGAGGGAAGCCGAGGTCTTGTCTAAGGCTATCTATCTCTCGCTCGCACGTCAATGCCATCATTATACCATCTCTCTATGTCACATAACCCAACAGTGGCAGTCAGCCAGTCAGATCCGGCCATGCAATTGCATCCTGCACCTTCCAAGCGGCTATGCGAGTAGCTTCCGGAAAATGAATCCCTCGAACATCTAGCAAGAAATTCGACAACCAAGAAAACATATATTATTCTATTAATGGGGGTACAATTAACAATATCAGCACTCCCCCACCAATTTTATAATAATTTATTTTAAGACAATTATTACCATCCTGATCAAATTATGATCACATCAACGTTTGGAAAATTTATTATAGGTCCCAGGATTGGATTGAATTCAAATTATTACTAAGTAGCAAATTAATATTAAGTAGTCATCATAACATTTGGAGTTTGAATTAAATAAAACAATATTAGTTAGTAATTTAGTTATTTAAGTTAGTTAAAATTAATTCAAAATAGTTATTGATTAATTAATAGTGAGTACTAATTGATTAATAAAAAACAATAGTCTAAGATTAACTTAGATCAGTATTAACAATAATTATTGAGGAAAATATTATGAATAATAATCATTATGAGTGGAAGAACACCATGAGAAATTAAGAAGTTGAAAGTAATGTTGATATTGTTCCCTTCGAACGGACGGAGGATGGGAAAAATTGAATTGAATTGAAATTATGCCACGATGGATGGACTGTGATAGTTTTGGAATTATTGGTATATTGTTGAATATTTTACAGGTAGATAGTCCATTTTTAGGGGAGATGACTGCGAAATTTCGGCAGAAAATAAATAATAATTTCGGTAGAAACCAATAACACTTTCGATAGAAAAATAAAATAAATTTCGGTAAGAAATAAAAATAGATTTTAGTAGGATAAAATAGAATTCAGAAGAAAATAAATGAAATAAAAGTTAGAGGAATAAAAATTTATTACAGAAACAGAAAATTAACCCATATCGAGATTCCAACATTACGTAAGAAAAATTTAGAATATAAAATAAAATATTAAGAAGGGTAAGAAATATTATTGTCTGATAGAAGTTATTTCTTTTTGATGTCAATTCTATCTTGCTTTAAGATCGCCCGAGTCCATCTAGTGCTCTCCAGGACAACATCAAAGCTAGAATTTCGCTCTCCATCA